CTGGCCTGCCCCCAGGAACGTTCATGCAACTGCACTACTGTAGGTGCCCAGAGACTGGCTGGGTGCCAACCCACTCCAGAAAAAGTCCACGTGATAGTGTAGCTGCAGCATTGCAGGGATTATGGTAAAACCCAACACACATCTGGCACCAGGCTTCACCGCCCCTTAATGTCCTTGTTCCAATATCAGCAAATGTGACTGTTCACCAGGGTCCTCTGGGACCCTTGCCTTGTGGGGAGGCCGCACCAAATCTACCAAATGTCCTCTCAGCAGGGGAACTACCTCTCCCCGTGTAGCCCAAGGACACTTGAGACCTTCTCCCTTCCCAGGAGCACTCCACCAGGTATCAAGCTGTGGAGTTTCAGACTCTGGGCTCCCCTATTTATAGAGTCTTAATGGTATTGAAACCCTTTCCTTTCTCTTTTCCCCTTTCTCCCTGTTTTATTAAATCCTTTATGGGTGTTTCCACCCTTTCTCTTTCTCTCCAGCTGCTTTTGGGGGGGCAGTGCTTTTCCTATACTCCCCCCACTGTCTCTGTCCTCTCTCCATAAGCAAAAACAGCTCCCTACCCTCCATGGCTTCTCTCTCCCCCAGTTTGCCTCTCCGCACCGCATACCTGCCAAGTTCTCTGGTTCAGGTTATGCAGATTGTTGTGTAAATCCTCAGATCAGTTTTCTAGGTGTGCAGGATGGTTTAGGGTTGATCTGGCTATATTTCAGGGAAAAGAGAAGCAAAAAACTTCCATGCTGCTCTGCCATCTTGGCCCCTCCCTCCTGTGTCTAGTATCATTTTAATGGATGAGAAAGAGGAAGTATACAGATCATTAACCTGTGGGTCTTTATCTTTAAAATTTCTTTTATACTCGTAGGTTTAATCAGGTTTTTCTCTTTGTGAGGTCAATTTTAATCATTAGTATTTTTTAGTAAGCATCCCCATTTTATCTGTGTTTTAACATCATATAAAGTTCTTTTTTCACTGTGTGTTTTAAAGTTTCCTTTGCATCTGGTTGTGTTCCTTTTCTGTGACTGATGTTATTTATTTTACCCTTCTCTTTTCTTGATCATGGTTGTCAGTGGTATATCTTTGTATTGGTCTTTTCAAAGAACTAGCATTTTGTTTCATTGACCAACTCCCTTCTACTTTTTGTTTAATTAAGTTCTTCATTTAACTTTATTATTTCCTTCTTTCTACTTTCTTTGAGTTTATTTTGTATGTCCTTTGAATTGAAAGCTTATTTCATTTATTTTCAGGCTTTTTGCTTTACTTAAGGCTACACATTTTCTTTTGGCTATTTCAATCTATTCAGTTCAAAATATTTTAATTTCCACTGTTTGCTGTCAGTTCCTAATTTTATTGTGTTATGGCCAGTAAACATGGTCCGCATGTTAAAAAATGTTTTGTAATTTCCTGAGCTTTCTGTGTGACCTGGTATGTGTGGTCAATTCTTTTCTCTATGTGTTTGAAGAGTTGTTATAAATTAACTCATTTAATCCTTAGAACAACCTATGAAGCAGAAATTATTTTTGTTCCCCGTTTTACAGATAAGGAAACTGAGGCATAAAAAGGTTAAGTAATTGTCCAGTGGTAAGTGTCATAAATTGCTTTTAAACCCAGTCACTCTGAGTGGAAAAGCATTTTGATGGGTTTGCTTTGTTGTCTTCTTTCCTCTAATGTTGCTCATAAACCTGATGTCAATCAGATACTTTTTTCTTTGTAGGTAATCTGTTTTTCTTTCTGGGAGCTATTAGAGTTTTCTCTTAATAATTCATAACACAAGGCTATGTCCAAGTATGGCTTTGTTTCTTTTATCATTGTCATTAATGATCTAAAGTGTTACAATCCGGTTTCCCATCACATTCTGAATAGTATAAAAATTCCTTACACTGGCCCATAAAGGCCCTAAAAATATGGTGGTGTGATCTTTCATCTCATCTCCTGCCTGCCCCCCCAGCCACACACACACACACACACACACACACACACACACACACCTTGTCATCCATATAGGCCTTCTGGGTTTTCCTCAAATACATTATTTAATTCCACTTTAGCTTTTTTCTCCAACTCCTCTTCCTAGAAACTTTTGCACCCACAGGTCTGCTGGGTGGATACTCCTTGTCATTTACTTCCCAGGAGAAATGGCATTCCATAGTCTTTCTCCCACCACCGGATCCAAAGGAATCCCCTGACAACACAGAGTGCTTGTTACCACATCACTTTGTTTAATCTTCTTATCAACAACTGCTCTTCTTTTTATATATATATATATATATATTTACTTATTTCTAGGAGAGAGAGAGAGACAGCGTGAGCAGGGGAGGGTCAGAGAGAGAGGTAGTCACAGACTGAAACAGGCTCCAGGCTCCGAGCTGGCAGGCAGCACAGAGCCCGACGCGGGGCTCGAACCCACAAATCGCGAGATCATGACCTAAGCGAAAGTCGGACGCTTAACCGACTAAGCCACCCAGGCGCCCCTCAACAACTGCTCTTCTTAAAGTAACTTATTTGCTTTGTGTCTTACCTTCCTCCCCTCACTAAAATATAAGCTCCATGCAAGCAGGAACCTAATTCTAACCTTGTTCACCACCATATGCCCAGCACACAATAACCACACCTAACCCACAGCAGACACAGAATATATATTTGCTGAATTAAATATGTCCTCGGGATGTCTAGGCGGCTCAGTTGGTTGAGCGTCCGACTCTGGATTTTGGCTCAGGTCTTGATCTCACCGTTGTGAGATGGAGCCCTGCATCAGGCTCTGTGCTGATGGCACAGATCCTGCTTGGGATTCTCTGTCTCCCTCTCTCTGCCCCTCCCTTCCCCCCCCCAAATAAACATTTAATAAGTAAATACATATATCCTCAAATACTATTTTTTCTATTAATTTATCCATTTATTAGATGGATGTTGGAACTTCTTATTTTTCCTCCTTGTCTTTTTTAAATGTTCAACCAGTTTTATCTCTTTGGGAATTCTAGCTTCACTTTGAACTAATTCGTTCTTCAATGGGGCCCAGTGTGCTATTGAAGTTTTTTCTCAACAGTAAATGTTTTTAATTTCTAAACTCTCCAATTTCTTTTTACAACTGCCTGTTATCGTCCTTAGTGCATGGATGTAACACATTCCTTTATCCTTCTGAATATTCAAATGTTTATTTTAAAGTCCTTTTCAGATTCCATCATCTTTTACCTCTAGTATACATTTTTATGTATGTTGACTGCTTAGATAAGCACACTCACAGTTGCCTTTTATTACCCCATAACGTTTCCGGAAGACCAGTAGTTTTATTTTATCAGTGAATTTGTAAAAGCTGAAAAGCTCTCTAGAACTTGCAATCATTTTATTTATCTAAGTCTTTCTTATTTTATTCAACTCAACCCCAAACCACAAATGTGTATTAACCACCTGCTGTATTACAGGCACCAGCTGATGACCTCAGTGTGCCTCACGCATAAAGGCACCCAATCAAAATACACGTTGATTGAAAAAGTACTTAATAACAGGATGGAAAAAAGTTGAAATATAAGAGGAATGGGATAGAATTTTCCAAGACAGAATATTAGAGTTTGACATCTCAGAGGTAGAATGGTTTTGAGTGGTCTTTTATTATTGGAGTGGGTGCAAGAGACAATCGAAGATAGAAAGTGGAGACATGAGTGGCTCTTTCGAAAGTAAGGAGATGACAGAGGTGACAGATATGAGGCTATTTTGTTACCCATCTATAGCAGTGGTTTTCAGCAGCAGCTGATTTTGCCTCCTAGGGGACATTTGTCCAGAGATATTTTGGTTGTCACAATTAGGGGGATGCTACTGGCATCAAATGGATAGAGGCCAGGAATACCACTAAACATTCTCCATTGCACAGAACGGAACCCATGACAAGTAACTGTCTAATTCAAAATGTCTTAAGTTCCAAGGTTGCAAAAGTGGGTAAAAGGATGTGAAGTCACAGAGGATGATTGCAGGATTTAAGGTGACAAGAAAAGCCATAATTTAGGTGCCTACCTTGATTACACTTCAACTCCTTTTGTTTACCATGTAAAATTGAACAAACTGTTTAATCTTTCTAGACCTCAGTTCCCCCATATAAAGGAGACTGTTACCCTTAACTGATCTCACCATCCATCATTATCTTGAAGAAGGAATGAGGACTTGACTTGAACACCCATTCTTCCCACTCAGTAGTCTTGGGCTTGCACAAGTCACTAACTTCACTCACCCTAGCTCTTCCTCTGTAAAAATTAAGATAATCCCTACTCCACAATGTTGCCATGATGCTTAAATGAGATAATGTATGAGAGGCTGCCCCATACAGTACTTGGCACATCGTAGGCACTCAATAAATACTTACTGAATCCAAAGGTTTTGTGAGCAGTTTTGAGTGCTTTAAGAGAAAGAGCAAATCATTAAGAAAAAAAATTCTCGGGGTGCCTGGGTGGCTTAGTCGGTTAAGCGTCCGACTTTCGCTTAGGTCATGATCTCGCGGTTCGTGGGTTCGAGCCCCGCGTCGGGCTCTGTGCTGCCTGCCAGCTCAGAGCCTAGAGCCTGTTTCAGTCTGTGACTCCCTCTCTCTGTAACCCTCCCCTGCTCACACTGTCTCTCTCTCTCTCCTAGAAATAAATAAAACATTTAAAAAAAAAAAAGAAAAAAATTCTCATATTGTTATTTTGATTTCTGTCTTAGTAAATTTTCCTCTTTACCATTTGTGTTTCATGTTATCTATTTTAACACAGGCATTAAAATTGTATCTACTTTAGTGCCTGGATTATAAGCACTTTCCTTTTTTTTTTTTTTTTTTTTACAAATAGTTTATTGTCAAATTGGCTTCCATAACACTTTCCCTTTTGTTTCGGTAATCATTGCTAGTTACACTGCCACTTTGTGTCGATGCTGTAGGATGCTGCACGTTTTCTGCAGAAACCAAACTGCCTTGTTCTTACTGGATCAGTAAAGAGCTGACCGTTAAGCTGAATCCTCCCACCTATTCATTTTAACAGGTCGTGGCAACTGAAGAAGACCTTGCCCCGCCCAGTCTGGTGCAGCCGCCGACCAGAGCAGATGGGTTGGACCATAGAATCGCAGCTCATATTGTGTCCATCCTGCCCTCCCTCTGTCTCACGGAGAGGGAGAGAAAGGTCAGAAGGCATGAGCTATCCAAAGGGTTTGCATGCTTTGAGAAAGTATGGATTCTCAGGGGTGCCTGGGTGGCTCACTCGTTAAGCATCCAACTTCAGCTCAGGTCACAATCTCACAGTTTGTGGGTTTGAGCCCTGCATCAGGCTCTGTGCTGACAGCTCAGAGCCTGGAGCCTGTTTCAGACTCTCTGTTTCCCTCTCTCTCTCTCTCTCTTTGCCCCTCCCCTACTCGTGCTCTGTTTCTCTCTGTCTCTTAAAAATAAATAAATGTTACCAAAAATTTTTGAAAAAAAGTATGGATTCTCTTTTTAAGTCAGTGTATTTCCATTTGAATAGAATCTCCATGAAATATTCTTATCTGAAGAAGAAAATGAAAGCAGAGCAGTGCCCAAAGGCCCTCTCCTCTTGAACTACCATGATGCACATGCCCACAAGAAGTACGTACTGAAGGTAATAATAATCAGATTATCCCGAGGCGAAGTGATGCAAGAAAGCCCATTTGTAATTATTCAGTTGAACAAATTGCAGTTAGATGGTTTTACCAATGCTAATTAAAAGTAACATCCAAAGTGCTTGCAAAGTGAGACATCAGAAAATAGAGACACAGAAGGGAACAAAGAAAACTTGCCTAATTATAAAGGTCCGATTAACCATTGATTGATTATGAGTGCACCAGGGCACCTGGGTGGCTCAGTTGGTTAAGTGTCTGACTTCAGCTTAGGTCGTGATCTCGCGGTTTGTGAGTTAGAGCCTCTGCGCTGACAGTGCAGAGCCTGCTTGGGATTCTCTCTTTCCCTCTCTCTCTGCCCCTCCCCACTTGTGCTCTGTCTCTCTCTCAAATAGGTAACCTTTTTTAAACTTTGATTTTGAGTACACCAAATTCACGTTAAAACCTTATAGTTATTGGCTTTAAATATCTCACTAATGTACAAAACTAGTGAAGGCCAAAGAAGAATCCCAGAAGGGAGAGATGAATATATATGAGACCTTGGCAGCTTGACACAGCGAATGAAGAATCCATCATTTCTGTGCACCAGGAACCTCTGGCAAAGTGTGAACGAGCTTTTTTTTGACCTTCAGCAAAATACCAACAGTTTGTCTTCCCCAATTACCATTGATTTCCCCCGTTCCCAAATAATGAGAGCGAAGGTATCAGGTTTTGCCTTCTCCATATGCATAAGGCACTTGACAGCTTACCCTAATGTCTTCTGTCATGTTGCTCTTTTTCATCAGGACCAAAGGAATTTTGACCCAGTTCAAATTGAGCAGGAGATGCAGTCCAAGTTGCCACTGTGGGAATTCCTTAAATTCCCTCTGCCTCCGCCGTGGAACAGCACGAAACGTCTAGCTACAATTCATGAGCTCATGCACTTCTGTACAAATGGTGAGTAATATTCTTTGTCTTAGCTTCGACCCATTCACTGATGGTCAAATATGATTCTTAAGATTACATCCTGATTTGCACAACACATTTTGATTACTTAAAGACCGTACAGAGGCTGAGGTGGGTGTTTTGATTTTCTTACCTTGAATAGCATCGTTAGCAATAGCATGATAGCTGTGATGCACAATGTTCTTCAGGTTGATACACTGGGTTCTTTCCACCACGTTTCCATGACAAGAATAATCTGTTCCTTTTTTCCTTCTCCCCGCTCCCTACCCCCATGTCCCCCTCCTTGGCATCACTGGAGAAGACATGGTGATCCCTATCTGAGGTAAGAGCACAGAGTAGGGAGCCCCCTGGCGATGTGGTTCTGAGAGCGTGTCCATTCAGATTAACTTCCTCTCACAAGGGGAGGGGCCATTTTATGCCCTTGGAGGTAATTTCGAGAATCTAAAATCAGCTTCTCATTGCAGAATTCACTGAGATTCCAGACAAGCTCATTTCCTTAAAAATCTTTATTTCCACTTGAGGCAATCTGCAGATATATTCCTACTTATAAGAAGGAATATGAAATCACATAGATACCTTCATTCAACAAGAAAAGCACCTCTGTTTCTCTCCTTAAGCAAATCGTGAAATGTTTTCATCTCGATTTCTTCTTTAACTTTTAAGTAAGCCTAATAACAGAGAAAAACACCAAATTCTTGTGAATACTGCCATGCCATGTCCTCATGGAAAAGTAGGGTGTAGCCAACTGGTTTGGGTACGTGGAGACTGTTGTTGACATAATCACTCTCTTCCTGATGTTCCTGAGAACATCTGTCCTTGGCCTCTGTCCTGCCACACTCCGCCTCCCCTACTGCCTGCAGTCTGACTCCATTGTCTCTCTACCTCATCCTACACACAGCACAGAATTCTTGGGTCTGTTGCCGCCTTTGCAACTTCATACATATCCCTCCCACAGGTTTCATCCCAAACCCTTTCTCCTCTTCTCTTCCCTCCTTCGGTACTTCATACTCAACAGATCCAAAACCAAACTCTTGACTCCCGCAAATTTCTCCCCTCACAGTCTTCCTTATTTCAGTAATGGCAACTATTTTCTTCCAAAACCTTTCAAGTCATCCCTGATTCCTCTTTTTTTCTTATGCCCCATGGCCAATCCCACCACATCCCTCACTGATACCAGCCCAGTCCACCATTGCTTCTCACTTGGGCTATGTCAATAGATTTCCAGTTGGTCTACAGCCTTTCGCCTTTTTACCTGGCCTTTCCCTCATGCAACCATTGGAATCATCCTTCTAAAATGTTAGTCAGACCATGTGCCCTCTTAACTCAAGATTCTCTAGCAGCCACCCATGTAACTCAAAGTATAATTGAAACTGTTCTGCCACCCACATTTTGAGCTCATCACCTGTCAAGCTCTCATTGTTCCACTCCATTCTATCTACGTTGACCTCACTGTGATTCCTTGAACATGTTGGTCACCCTGCTGCCTCAGGATCTTTGCACATACTCTTCCTCCTGTGTCTATCACTTTTTCTCCCAGATATTCACAGGACTTGCTCTCTCACTTGTTTCATATTTTTGCTTAATTGTTCAGAGGGTTTTTCTCTGAATACCTTATAGAAAAAAGAAGCCCCTCCCCAATCGCTGTGCCTTCTTTTCCCCTCAACTGGCTTTATCCATCTTATCATCTCTGATATGGTATATGCTTATCTGTTTACCCTGTTTCCCATCACCAGAATGGATACTCCACGAGATGAGGAGTTCACTTCATAGCTTACTGCTGTGGTCCCAGCTTTTACTGTAATCCTTGACAACTACTGTGTGCTCAAAAGATATTTGCAAAATAAATGAATGAGGAAACTTTCCTTAGTTCTGTAACTTTTACCTCTTCCCTGGTTCTCTTCTGAACTTCCTCATGATTTTTCCAGAAGAACTGTGTCCTTAGTTCTACTGGAGAAAAGTGGAGGTTACCCCAGAATCACTGATCTGTCACTATCATTTTACTTTTCCTCATTGAATCCCATGATTATTTGCCAATACCTACCTCCTACCCCTCTAGTTTGAACTTCTAAAGTTCAAGAACACAAGAACCAAATCTTTTCTTTGAATCCAAGGCACCTATGATGAGGCCTAATACATAGAAAACAAACAAACAAAAAAAATGAGTGAGCAGGTAAGTGAGTGAGTGAGTAAGTGAATAGATGAATAAATACTGTAAGAGAATAAAAGCACAAGTGGATAGGGCCAGTTGAAAGCTGATAACCTTTGAAGTACAATTATTATTTTCATCCACCAGTTCAAGTGGGTGAAAAGAGGCCTTTTCTGAGCCCTTAAGGATCAATAAAACCTACTGAATATAACAGCACTTGTTATACACAAGTGAGTAGTTTTTTGTTGCTGTTCCAAATTATAATAGTAGCAAAGGTGCTTTTGCTTAAAAATGATAAGTTTTAGGGGCACTTGGGTGGCTCAGTCAGTTAAGCATCGATTTTGGCTCAGGTCTTGATCTCACAGTTTATGAGTTTGAGCCCCACATTGGGCTCTGTGCCAGCAGCTCAGACCCTGGAGCCTGCTTTGGATTCTGTGTCTCCCTTTCTCTCTGCTCCTCCCTCCCTCATGCTCTGTCTCTCTCTGTCTCTCAAGAATAAGTAAATGTTAAATTTTTTTTAAAGTAATAAGTTTTAAACATATTCAACCAATATGGTGCCCTGGAGAATCCATGTGAACTCATATTAATACTAATACACCTAACACTGATTAAGCTATGAAGCAGTTTGTGAACATTTTCTTGGTAGATTGTATCTTGACTGTGCAGCCTTCTCATTATTAGGTACTATTGATACTTGTTGCAGAATTGTGGAGCCCATGTTTAAAGTCAGTCAACACCCATCATGATATGACTGCCTTGTCGTTGCAGTGGACAGGCCCCCTGCGTGCCCCTACACCAGCCCCTACAACGTGGTAATAAGGGCATCTTTAGCAACATAGTTCTGCTTTCTTACAGATATCTTGAGCTGGAATGAAGTAGAACGGGCCTTCAAAGTGTTTACTTTCGAGAGCCTGAAACTCTCTGAGGTTAATAAAGAAGGAATTCTGATGCCTTCTGAGATGATGTATGGAACAGATTCTGCGAAGTTCAACATACCCTGGGACAACCCGGCCAGATTTGCTAAACAGCTAAGGCAGCAATACATCATGAAAATGAACACTCAACAGGCCAAACCCCAAACAGGTACCGTGCATGGGGGGAACCAAAAGCATTCTTCCATTCTATGAATGTTGGTTTCTCTAGCATTGTGTCTAATGGATTCTCTTTAAACCAACTAGATACTGAAGCCAAAGACAGAATTTTATTTGTGGCTCAGAACTGGCCAATGTTGGTGCAAGTGGATGAGGTCGGTGGAGAACCTTCAGATCCTAGTCAGTCTGCGTCTAACAAAGTGAAGCAGTCTGACCCAAACAGTAGGGAACCTGATAATATAGAGCTGTCAGGGCGGGAGAGCAGCTTGAAGACTCAGCGCCAGTCTGGGCCTTCAGGTGAGAGAGAGAGAGAGAGAGAGAGAGAGAGAGAGAGAGAATGTGTGTGTAGACACTGTTATAGAATGCATTAATCCAAAAAATGATTCAAGAAACATTAACACTCATATGTGGAATTTAAGAAGCACAACAGATGAACATAGGGGAAGGGAGGGAGAAAATAAGGTAAAAACAATGAGGAAGGCAAACCATAAGAGACTCTTAAATACAGAGAGCAAACTGGGGGTTGCTAGAGGGGTGTTGGGTGGGAGGATGAGCTAGATGGAGGATGGGCATTAAAGAGGGCACCTATTTGGATGAGCGCTGGGTGTTATATGTAAGTGATGAATCACTGGGCTCCACTCCTGAAACCAGTACTACTGTACGTTAATGAACTTGAATTTAAAGAAATAAATTTAAAATTAAAAAAAAAAAAAGAAACATCTAAATTTAAATGCCTCCTTGTTTCAGTTGAAAGACTATTTAATATCTAAGTTATTTCATTAATTAAATTTTTCTACTGAGTGAGTTCTTGTTATTTCAGTCCTTATTTTAAAATATCCTAAGGCCTGTAAGTCCACTCTTAGTAAATATAGTAAGGTGAACATAATTAAACTTTCCTCATTAGTACTTCATAGGGTTATTGTGATTATATGAAAAATTACTTAAAACTCACCTGCAATAAGAGTGTGAACTTCCCACTACAGAGCTTGGTACAAAATCAATGCTCAGTGAAGAACACTGATTTCCTTTCTCTCCTCCTTATAGCTCAGGTTATGTCTCTTATTCTAGAATATTGCATCATAGGGGCGCCTGGGTGGCTCAGTCAGTTAAGCATCTGACTTTGGCTCAGGTCATGGGTTCAGGTCATGATCTCACAGTTTGTGAGTTCAAGCCCTACATTGGGCTCTGTGCTGGCAGCTCAGAGCCCAGAGCCTGCTTTGGATTCTGTGTCTCCTTCTCCCTCTGCCCCTCCCCTGCTTGTGCTCTTTCTCTCTCTCAAAACAAATAAATAAACATAAAAAAAAAGAATGTAGCATCATAAATGTTGTTACATTAAGAAGCAAAGGAAATGGTTAGGCTAAATTTACTGAGCTATTTTATGCATAGCTGTCAGATTAACCACTTAAAATACAGCTGTTAAGTTCTTGCTTACAACCTTCAAAGCCTCCTTACTAACAGAACCCAGTTCTTTGGCCTGCTATACCATGCTCCTCCAGTAGTACCAAATTACTTTTCCAAAACCTTTTCCACTTTTTTGCTTTTGCTCACTTATCCCATGCTCTAGCCAAACAGAATTAGAATCTATTTCCTCTACACAGCCTGCTGTTTTCAATCTGTGTCTTTTCTCCACAATACCCTTCACCTAGAGCTTTCTTGTTTATTACAATTAGGTTTCCATGGAACCTCCATGAAGCTTTGTTAGTTGTGTCCAGCTAGAAATGGCTCCCTTAGCATTCCCACAGTCACAAGTAATCTGTGCTTCCTTTATAGCATTAGTTACCATTTCCTACTACTAATTACAGTTATTATATGTCTGTATCAAGTTTCCATAATACTACAGCTTCTTAAAGGTCACAGGTATGCTTATCTTAACAATATTAACTAGAGGTTCCTCGGTGGCCCAGTCGGTTAAGCATCCGACTTTGGCTCAGGTCATGATCTCACTGTTCACGAGTTCGAGCCCCGCATCGGGTTCTGTGCTGACAGCTCAGAACCTGGAGCCGGTTTCAGATTCTGTGTCTCCTCTCTCTGTGCCACTTCCCTGTTTGTGCTCGGTCTCTTTCTCAAAAATAAATAAACATAAAAAACTTTTTTAAAACATTTAAAAATATTAACTATATGCTGGACCATAAAACAAGCCTCAGCAAATTTTCACAGAATCAAAACCACAGAGTATATTCTCATACCACAGTGAAATTATGGTGGACATTAGTTACAAAAAAAAAAATAATGGGAAAATATCTAAAATTTCAAACTAAGAAATACACTTCTGTATAACACCTCACTCAGTGAAAAAGTCACAATAGAAATTAAGAAATATTTCAAGTTGAACAGTAATGAAAATACTGAATATCAAGATTTCTTAATGCAGCTAAAGCAAGAGATACTCAGAAGTTCACAGCTTTAAATGAATACATTTTTTAAAAGACAGCTAAAAATTAATTAGCTAAACATTAGCCTCAAGTTTTTAGATAAAGATAAACAAAATAAATCCAAAGAAAATAGAAGGAAGAAAATAAAATAAGAGTAAATTATCAAGATATAAACTATAGATGTAACAGGGAAGAACAAATAATAAAACTGTGTGGTTCTTTGGAAAGACTTTTAAAATTTATAAATTATTTTTTTTAGAAAAGGCTGACCACATAAAAAGTCAGCATAAATAACAATATTAGGAACAAAACCATATCAGGAATAAAAATTGTCAGGAATAAAGAAACAGACTTCCTTCTGATCCTACAGAAATGTAAAAGGTAATGAGGATATAAGCAACTTTATTCCCCTAATCTAAAAATGAAACAAGCAAATTACTAGAAAAGTATATCTTACCAAAAGTGACTCAAGAAGAAATAGTGTTGTAATCATTTAAATAAATAAAATCAATAATTAACAATCCTCCAGGGTGTCTGGGTGACTCAGTCAATTGAGTGTCCAGCTCTTGGTTTCAGCTTAGCTCATTATCCCCAAGGTCATGGGATTGGACCTCACATGCTTAGCATGGAGCCTGCTTAAGATTTTTTTTTCTCTCTCTCTCTCTGCCCCTCTCCCCAGTTTGTGCTCTCTTTCTCTCTCTCAAATAAAAAGAGATGACAGATAGATAGATAAAAATAAATAAATAAAAATATAAAAATTCCCCCAAATAGGACATACCCAACCCAAATAATCTTATTTACTAGTGACACCAAACACTCAAAAAAAGAAATAATTTTGATCTTAAAAATTATTCCCACAAATAAAGAAAAAGTGTATCCTCCCCTACTCATTTTAGGAAGCTAGCATAAACCTTATAATACAATTTTCAATAATAGTACTACAAAATAAAATTATAAATCAAACTGATTCATGAACATAGATGCAAAAATCCTGAATAAAGCATATGTAAGCTGATCTAGCAATATACAAAATGACAATAATACATCACAAACAAATCATTTTTATAAAGGAACAGAGAAAAAACATACATTAAAAAATTAAAATCAATATAATTTATCAATTAACATACTAATGAGAAAAATTATATAATCATTCTCAATAGATGCAGAAAAAGCTTAAAACTATAGAAATTCATGGAAAAAATCTCAGCAAACTATCAATAGGAGGAAAATTTTTCTACCTTGTAAAGTTTATTCTTAAATTACTACAACAAACATTGCATATCAAAATGAAAAGTTGAAAGATTTCCGGACCCCAGAAAGCTATATACTATAAACACTTGTATTCAGTATTACACTGGAGATCCTAGCCAACTCAGTAAGGCAAGAAAAAGAGATGAGCGTGTAAGATTTGAAAAGGAAGAAACAAAACTGTTACTATTTGTAAATATTATATATGTAGAAAACCCAAAATGATCCACACACAAAAAAATCAGGATTAATATGACAGTTTAACAAGGAGGTCATATTTATAAAAAGGCCACACATAATATGTCTGCACTGCTGGGACTTTTCTTTATATTCATTATACTAAGCATTTCTGTTCTATGTACTTCTCTGTGTTATAATTCATAATTTTAAAAAGCATTAAACAAAAGCGGTCAGTGCCACAAGAGAACAGATGTTAAGTCAGTATTTTTTAAAACATTTACTTATTTATTTTGTGAGGGTGGGGAGGGAAAGAGAGAATCCCAAGCAGGCTCCATGCTGTCAGTACAGAGCCTAACGCAGGGCTTGATCTCACAAGATCATGAGATCATGACCTCAGCCAAAATCAAGAATTGGACAGTTAACCAACTGAGCCCCCAGGAGCCCCAAGTCAGTATTGACTGAATAGTCATCTTGTCATTTTCGTTTGCTTAGATGAGGGTAAAAGATAGAGTAGAATTAGGGAAAATCTGATTGCCAATTAGTAGAACAGTTAAGTGAGGGTGAGGGGGACAGAGGAAGGGAGGAGACAACATTTATTTAATAATGCCCTGCTATATTCCAACCACTGTGCTAAGACATTTTACATATATTAACTAGTATTTGATTTAAACCTCAAGTCTACGAGTAAGATACTCTTATCCCAATTCTAAAGACAAGGAGTTGAAGACCAGAGGGATTAAGTAACTTGTTCAACTACATACAAGTAAGAAGTCAGGATTCCAACAGACCGCTAACTCTAAACAAATGCTTCCTCCACTGTGTCTTTTGGCTTCCTCAGTTCCAGAAATTTCTTGTCTAGGGGCTTAGCCATACTCATGGTCTCTTCTTCATGCTGATCCTTAACCTGATTTTGTTACTGTTGGGTCTTACTTCTCAAAATGGTTGATTTCCGATTTCTCTGTTCTAAGTACCCTTACATATTAGCCTAGCTCACAAAAATAATTAAGCCAAATGAATTAACCTGGAACGTTATGGCATTAGTGCATCCTGTGGGAATGTAAATGTACAACAGAGAAGTTGTTTTGTGTTAATACGGATTCAGAATAAGCCAGGAGAGATATAAATCTTGAGGGGTTTTTTCTTTGTGTTCTGTTCTTTCCTTTAGAAGATCAACTGGTGTAAAGTTTTCTTCAGGCAACTTTTGCCACCTGGTGGTCAGACCATGTAAATTGGCATTCCAAATCCTGGAGGAAAATGGATGATTTGAGCAACTCTAAATCTCTGGGGCTAAAAATGCTATAATGGATAGTGTATCCTAGAGATAGAGCAATCTGGAGAGCTGAACCCCCACAACCTGTAAAGGATCCTATAAGATGTATATTAACCCTCATCAAGGAACTGTTAGACATGGGACAGTGGCTGAGGCTTGGTGCCCCTCCGTGGCTGCGGTGTCTAATGGAATTTGTTGTTGATCATGCATTTCCCCTCTGACTCTGAATCATACTTCTAAAGCAGCCACTTAAAATCATTTTGAACAAGGCAGAAATTGTTCATGTATTTCCTGAAAAACCATCTTAGCATCAAATGCATATAAAAACCTGTTCCTGGATTTGAAGGGCTGAATATTTGTGCTTTTCTTAACCAAACACTGGATTTCCATCTGAGACTGTTTTTGAACTTGACAGGGCCTATTGGATATTTATGAAAAACCTGTGAGTTGATAACCGTGGGTCTATGGGTTTAGATGTGCCCTCGATGCTTGTTGGGTGTTTTTTTAATAAAGTAACTGCTTTGCAGAGGGATCTTGTTATCTCTAAAGTAAAACAGATTAGGAAAGCTGTTTTTCAAAGGGATGAGAAAGCATCCATTTCCAGATGTGTCAAAAACTACTGAATCACACTGTCAAAGGATTATGGGGCTGAAGGCAGAATCAGAAAGAAAGAAAAAAATGATTTTTACTCTACTATTAAATAAAGAGTTCAGATTCGTTTTAGAATGTTCTTTCCTTTGACAAAATAACTGATGCACAATTTTTTTAGAACATATTTTCTAAACTAGAGACTTTTTCTGCTGGATCCTTAGACACAGGAGGGAATATCAAATCTCCCGGAAATCTGGCAGACCACAGAATAGAATAATTTTTATTCCACAGATTTCATATCAATTGCTTCAGGGACGCGAGGGACATCATGGTCTATTTAGAGTTATAGTTGGCCTGAGTTTTCTCTTGAGTAGATGTATTTATATAAATACTGAACTGAATTGACTTTATAGTTTTCCTCTAAATCAAAATGGAACATTCATGCCGTCACCTCCACCAGCCCAAGGCAAGATGAAGCTAGTAGCGAAAATGTAAGTAGCTATGCTCCTAAAAGAAAGAAAAACATCGGTCTGTCCTTGGTAGGCATGATTAACTACTGCTAGAAGTATAGATACACTTCTCTTCACCACAGAATGAAGTTGAATCTTATGCTTACCCCAAAATAAGCTTTTGTTTTGAGTTTCTTCCACAGTTCTTCTCTGTCTCTGTGGCTTTAGATACATTTCCAGTTTTATTATATGATACAGAACTTCCTCATTCAATCAACACAAACTACTGAAGTCCTACTGTGTGCTGGGCACTTGGGGTACAGTTACGGAAAATAAGATCAAGTTCTTATTCTCCAAGAATTCCCTTCCAAGATGGAGAGATAGACACAAATAAATATTATCAGACACTAGTAGATGGGACGATTAAAAATACGACAAGGTAAAGGGCAGAAAAGCCTTAAGGAGATGACATTGAAGCAACACTATGAATGAAGTAAAGGTTTGAACCAAGTGATTATCTAAAAGCAAAGCATGACAGAACAAAGGCAAGTGCAAAAACTTTAAGTCGCAGCAAACAACCCAGAGAGTCTGGAGAGGAAAGAGCAAATGCGAGTGGAAGAGATGTGTTTGGAGAGTGAAGGTGGGACCATAAAAAGCCAGGTTGGCTCAGTTACCCAGCAGCGTCCCAAATATATTATCACAAGATCCATCACCCACTCCATTTCTTTGGTCAAACTGGGGGGAATATGCTATATAGTTTATCCATTTCTTTTTTTAAATTTTTAATGTTTTATTTATTTCTAAGAGAGAGAGAGACAGCATGAGCAGGGGAGGGTCAGAGAGAGAGGGAGACACAGAATCTGAAGCAAGCTCCAGGCTCTGAGCTGGCTGTCAGCACAGAGCCCGATGCAGGGCTTGAACCCACGAACTGTAAGATCATGACCTGAGCTGCAGTCAGACGCTCAACCGACTGAGCCAGCCAAGCCCCCCTAGTTTATTCATTTCTATATGAGAGATTCGGAATCACAAGAGCTATAGTTTAATCAGTCAATATTTGCAACTCATAAAGGTAAAGGTACCTTTTCAGAAGTGAGGGAAATAATCTGAAGGCAGGATTATCTGATAGGATTTAGGAATGTATCACAGAGGAAGCTGGGTTCTATTCCAAGGGTTTAGTATAACTTTTCCAGGTAGACACTGATTTAGAATTATTGACACAAACACCTTTGTGGAGGCATGAAGCATGCCTTTCAGGAATTACCTTTTCAGCACAGAAACATAGATCATATGGGCAACAAAAAGGCCCAGCACTGACAAAGGCAAGAACAAAGCCAAAACACAACTGGATGTTGGTGTCTTTGATTTACAGAACAGACCACGAACAATGAGATCAAAGATGAAGCAGTCACAAAGGCTGATCCTCTTGAAAAGGTAAGGAATTGTTTTCCTATCAGTGTAGATACAAGTAAGATGATCTGAGAAAACTGTGACCCAGAGTAACACACACACACACACACACACACACACACACACACACACACACACACACGAGATGCTTAGCAGAAGGAAGGGGATTACTCAGACATCCTCAGACTAGCTCCAGCTGGAGAGAAAGGAGTTAATTTCACTAGCGGCTTAAGCAAAACTTCCAAGCTCCATGCTCCTCTCTAGACAGTGTGGCTTGGCAACCTCACAAACACCTGCTGACCATACAGCCATGTAGAACTAATGCTGTCTTGAAGTGAGTTCAGAAAACCTGCCTATAATTGCTAACAGGACTCAGAAGAGTATAACCTAACAATAAAAATATTTAGATTATGTTGCCCATAAAAAAAAAAAAAAAACTCAAAGGCATACTCTTTCTGGCAACAGCTCTCCTAAAATGTTGCCATATGGATTTATACATATGCAGATTTCCCCAATTAGATGGAGGACATGCTGGTTAGTTGATGGAGTCCGAGAAGGCTCCGTTTGGAGTTGGACAAATTAAAGCTGAAATTGTACTCCTATGATTTTTTAGAAACCCAAGAAGATGACTGTGGAAGCAGAGTTAGAGGACATAAGGAAAACGCAACAACGCAGTCTAATGGACTGGAGTTTCACTGAACATTTTAAACCGAAAGTTCTGCTTCAGGTATCAGTGGACCGTGAGTCTCCAGGAGGTGGCTGGTCAGGTCTGGGGAGTCGTGGTATGATTTAGAACGGTTCACTGCTAGGTCACTCTCTCAGATCCAGTTCTGATCAATTTTCCCATTTACTTCATCTATAAAATGAATGTATTCCCAGATCGAGCTACACATGCCCAGGGAATCTCCATCCAAAGGGATGTTTTTATAAAATCTTGTAAGAGAGGAAATAGACATGACTGGTGCACATATTTTCTAAGAACAAAAGTAAGGCATGATGGGAAAGCAGTCTTATTTTTCCCATATTGCCTATCAGTTCTACGAAGTTTTCACTACATTTCAAAGTATTTTCTGATGCAGTTTACAGGTCAATGGAACCTGCTAGTGTTTATTGAGCACTTATCCTTATGCTAGCAATGATTAATATTATTTGCTCATTTAATCCTTTGAAGTAGAAACCTATGTAAATAATAGGAAATTGAGACACCTTGACCAAGAATAACTTTTGCTTAAGGTCGCATGGCTGGCAACTGAGAGAAACAGCATATAAACCCAAGAAATCTGGCCCCAGAACTTTTGTTCATGCAAAATAACAAGTAACCTAACATTTTCTGTGTATACATTTTATGCAAAAACCTGTACTTGCTTTTGCTTTACCTTTTTAATTTTAACTCTACTGACATCGAAGTTTTACATACACACGTTTTTAAAAGTACTTATTTAGAGAGCTCACGCATGCGAGGGTAGGGAGGAGCAGAGAGAGAGAATCCCAAGCAGCCTCTGCTCTGTCATGAAGAGCCTGCCGGGGGCTTGATCTCATGAGCCGGGAGATCAAGAGCTGAGCATTTAACCGACTGAGCCACCCAGGATCCCCTACCTCCACACAGTTTTAAAGCCAGGAAGTTCTATAAAGAGTCTTATGAAAAATAGCAGCTCCCTCCCCACCCCTGTGCCTAAATTCTTGGAGGTAAAAATCTTCAAGACATTTACAGGTTTCTTGCTACCTAACTCAGTCTCCTCTAATAACAAGTATATTTTGTTTAGTTTTAGTTTTGGTCGGGCATCGCCATCAACTGATTCTCTCTTGAGAAAATAGCTGCCAACCCCCATCTGGTGTGTACATGTGCATGTGAACACACACACACACAACTACACACTCACTCATATACTCCTATACTCACACTAACACTTCTTGCCATTCTCTAACACTATTAACTATATCATCATTTTTGTTTCGCTCAATATTTAATATTTACTTAATTTCATTTTTATAAATGTTATTCATAGCTGAACTATGTACTACTCAATGATTATGACTTTTTTTCTTGATACTATTTCTTGATATTCTTTCTTGATACTATTTTTGTTTTCCTTGGAGTTTGTCTTCCAGTTATTTTTTCCTTTGTCTAGTTTACTATGCATTTATATTACTCCTCCCCACACTCTGCACCAAAGAGCAAAATCTCCTCTTAATCCATTAAACTGCGCAGGCAGTCTATCAGTTTTATCGTCTAAGCCACATCTCTCCCGTGTGCTCTGAACTCGCACTTGCCCTCCAGGCCTGCTTCACAGCTGTGGCCCTGGGAACTTCGTTTCTTATGATCCTGGTCACATCCTTGGCTTCTCTTTCCAGTCAGACACTCCAGTTTCTGAGTCACATGTCCCATTCTTTCTTGAGTTACTCCCTTTTTGCAGGGAACAATCACTTCTTTTTTTTTTTTTTTTTGTGGTTTTTTTTTTTATTTTATTTTTTTATTTTTTTACAAATAGTTTATTGTCAAATTAGTTTCCACATAACACTCAGTGCTCATCCCCAAAGTGCCCTCCTCCATGCCCACCCCCCCCCCCCCCCCACATCCATCAGTCCTCAGTTTTTGTCAGCATTCAAGAGTCTCTCATGGTTTGCCTCTCTCCCTTTCCCCCACCATTTCCGCCCTTCTTCTCCCCCTTGTTCCTCCGTCAAGTTCCTCCTAATCCTCCTATACGTGCAAACATATGATATTTGTCCTTCTCTGCCTGACTTATTTCGCTCAGCATAACACCCTCAAGGTCCATCCATGTTGCTACACATGGCCAGATTTCATTGTTTCTCATTGCCATGTAGTATTCCGTGGTATAGATAAACCACATCTTCTTGATCCATTCATCTGTGGATGGACACTTAGGCTCTTTCCATGTTTTAGCTATTGTGGAGAGTGCTGCTGTGAACATTGGGGTCCATGTGCTCCTATGCATCAGCATTTCTGTATCCCTTGGGTAAATTCCTAGCAGTGCTATTGCTGGGTCGTAAGGGAGTTCTATTGTTAGTTTCCTGAGGAACCTCCACACTGTTTTCCAGAGGGGCTGAACCAGTTTACATTCCCACCAACAGTGTAGGAGGGTGCCCGTTTCTCCACATCCTCGCCAGCATCTAGAGTTCTCTGATTTGATCATTTTAGCCACTCTGACTGGCGTGAGGTGGTATCTCAGTGTGGTTTTGATTTGTATTTCCCTGATGAGGAGGGATGCTGAGCATCGTTTCATGTGTCTGTTGGCCATCTGGATGTCCTCTCTGGTGAAGTGTCTGTTCATGTCTTCTGCCCATTTCTTCACTGGGTTGTTTGTTTTTCGGGCATGTAGTTTGGTGAGTTCCTTATAGATTCTGGATATTAACCCTTTATCTGATATGTCATTTGCAACTATCTTTTCCCATTCCGTTGGTTGCCTATTAATTTTCTGGGTTATTTCCTTGGCTGTGCAGAAGCTTTTAATCTTGATGAGGTCCCAACAGTTTATTTTTGCTCTTGATTCCCTTGCTTTTGGGGATGTGTCAAGTAAGAAGTTGCTGCGGTGGAGGTCAAGGAGGTTGGCAGGGAACAATCACTTCTAATTGCATTCTGAATTAAAACACATGGCGGGTAAATTTGGGGGGCATTGGATGTGTGAAACCATCTTAATTCTACCCTTACATTTGAGTGACAGTTAGCTTTACATAAAATGCTCCTTCAGAAAGCATTTTCCCTCCACATTTTCTTAAAATTTTTTTAGTGTTTTATTTATTTCTGAGAGAGAGACAGCATGAGCAGGGGAGGGTCAGAGAGAGAGGGAGACACAGAATCTGAAACAGGCTCCAGGCTCTAAGCTGTCAGCACAGAGCTTGACGCGGGGCTTGAACCCATGAACCATGAGATCATGACCTGAGCCGAAGTCGGATGTTCAACCCACTGAGCCATCCAGGTGCCCCTCCCTCCACATTTTGAAGGCACTCCTTGTCTTGTAGCTTCTTGTGTTGTCCTTGAGAAAAACAACAATGAAATTCTTGTTCCTGATCAGTTGTTTGAGTCTGTTGTTTTGTTTTGTTTTGTTTTTTGTTTTGGGGTGGATTTTTTTTGTTTGTTTTTCAGGGGGTTTTTTTGGTCTGGAAGATTTTAAGATCTTCTCTTTGCTCCAGTGTTGTTGGTTTCCTGTTAATGTGCCTTGGTGTGATTCTGTTTCCAAGTATCATACTGGTAAGCCCAGAACAATCCAGAAACTCCTGTCTTTCTATTCTGGGAAATGTTCCATAATCATTTCTTTGATAATCATCTCCCTTCTGGTTCTTCTAATCCTTCTTTGTGGCACCCCTGCTATTCTGGTGCTCACCTTCCTGGGCAGAGCTTCCAATTTCCTTGCCTTTACTCTCCTAATTTCCAGTATTTGTCTTTTTGTTCTGGAGATATGGTTCACTTTCATCCAGTTCTTCCATTGAGGCTTCTGTTTCTGTTATCATCATTGTTAGTTTCCTAAAGTTCTATTTATAATTGCACATTACTTTTTTTATAGCATCTTACTTGTCTTACCTGAGACCATATCTTCTCTTCTCTCTATGAGGATATTAAAGTCCTTTGAAATACTAGTGTTTTATCCCTAGATTGGGTCTTTTTCCTCAAATTCTTTTTCTTTTTCTCTCAAGTTTCTTTTTTGCTTTTGGGTTTTTTTGGTTTTTTTTTGTTTTTTTGTTTTTTTTTGGTCTCTATTTTTCATATCAGAGAGTAATACCTAATGACATTTACCTTTTTCTTCATGTTAATAATGAGACACTAAAAATATCATAGGAAGTACTGCGTGAGGTCAGGGCAGGAGGGAATTGTCAATAACGGATTTCATTTTGGGTGATTTGGCTGGGTAGTTTCCTGAGGATACCCATCAGTGTTGGTGTATTAGTCTGTACTCTTAAGCCATTGAAGTTCTTCAGAGGGAAAAAAACCTGATCATGTAACTGAAAGACACAACTTACCTGTTAGGATTTTGGAAGCTGAGTAGTTGGGGGAAGGCAATTACACTTCTTACCATTCAGGCTCTAGATCTACATTGTTCAGTGTGGTAACCACAACTCACAGGGAGCTTCTGACTACTTGAAATGTAGTTTGTCCAAATTGTACATTTGCTATACTATATACATAGTATATATTACTTATATAATACAGTATATATTTCTTATTATTATATATATTACTACATATATAATATATATTTGGTTTAAGTATACATACCAAATTTCAAAGACTTAATATGAAAAAGGTGATATATCTCATTAACCATTTTTATACTGATTACATATTGAAAAGATAATTTTTTGACATACTGAATTAAATAATATATATATATTTAAGTTTTGATTTATTTATTTTGAAAGAGAGAGAGAGAAGCAGAGAGAGAGTGAGGAGGGGAGGGACAGAGAGAAGAAGAGACAGAACCCCAAGCAGTTTCCACCCTGTCAGTGCAGAGCCTGACACGAGGCTCAAACTCAAACCATAAGACCATGGCCTGAGCCAAGACCAAGAGTTGGATGCTTAACCAACTGAGCCCCCCAGGTGCCCCAAATAAAATATATTTTTTAAATTAACCTTACTTGTTTTGGTTTTTTTTTTTTTTTTACTTTTAAAGTATGGCTGCTATAAAATTTAGAATTATACATGTGGGTCACCTTATATTTCTTGGACATCAATTTATAGTTTGACACAATTCTCATTTTTTTCTGTAGTACAGGTTTCCCTTAGCAGTGCCTAGGAGCTCACTTCTTAGAATCCATGGAGTCTTTTCTATAGGTAATAATCCTCCCTTTGTCTGCAGAGGTGGAAGATGGGCAGCTGCCTAGTTGCTAAGAATTATTGAGGGCTTCTGGGGGCCCTAACAGCTTCTTAAAAATACTTTAATCTTCCTATTTTCAGTGTTTCTTTGACCCCATTCTCAGAGCAGGGCAGTGCACTGCCATTCCCTTGAGCCTTTCTGCACTTCTGCACAAGGGTACTTCTGGTCTCTCATTAAATTAATCTCAGAATTTGATTTTCTGTTGGCTGTCAGTTACCCCTAACTTTCTACTTTCCAGCTTCTAAACTGTTGTTGCCTTTGTCTCCTCTCCTGTGACCTTCAACGTTGTGGCATTAAAACCCAATAATTTTACTGTTCATTTAATGAGCTGTCAAGAAGTACATGTGTTTAATCTTTCATCTTTAAATGGAAGCTCATTGTGGGCTTTGGTTTCTTTTCGATTTGGCTCCATCCTCACCACTCTATGAATCACTGTCCTGCCAAATCTAATGGACAATTATCTTTCTTCATCTTCCTTGACCTTTTAATAGCATTAAGAGCTAATCACTGTGAAATACTCCTGCCTCTCTGTTTCCAAGGTGCCATACTGTATTTCTCCTCAGTGCTCTGGACTTTTGTTGATCTACTGTCTAAATATCAAAATGCCTTGAGTTTGAACACTGAACCATCTCCTCTCTTCTGTAAACATCCTTGTGATGATTTCATCTATCATCTATGACCTAATGCTAATGACTCCTACAATTTTATCTTCCAAATGATTGCTTAGTTCCATAGTGGAATACCTAACTCCAAATTCCACTTGAATTTATGACAGGCATCTCAACTTCAGTGTCCCACACAAAGCTAGTAATTTTCCCACCTGAGCATGTTTCTCTCCTCATCGATCTCAGAAAATGTCACCTTCAAGCCAAAAGGCTAAGAGTTCTCGCTTATCTCTGCTTTACTGCATCCTGCGTGTCTGATCCATCATCAGGTTTTGAGGGGTGTACCTCAGAATATATCTTGAAGCTCTTCACCATCTCCACTGTTGCTGTGTCAGTCCAGCCACCATCCTGTTCTACTGCAACAGCCTCCCAATCATTAACCTGCTTCAGCTTTTGTCCAGTCCGTTCCATGAATCAGATACTCCCATCAATTTCTTCTGCTTAGGACACCTCTCTGAATCCAGGATGATCTGTAAAAATCTAAATCAAATTTTAAGGGAAAATCTTATCTATCTTGTTAATTTTTGTTTTCCTAGAACCTGCACAGTACCTGGCACATCATAGGTGTTTATTTTTTTTAACTGAGCTATGACTAACACACAGTGTTATATTAGTCTCAGGTGCAAAATATAATGATCCAACTATTCAATACATTTCTCACCCATTTCCTCCCCACCTCCCCTCTGGGCAACCACCAGTTTGTTCTCTGTATTTAGGAGTCTAGTGTTTTGTTTGTCTCTTTTTCCTTTGTTTGTTTGTTTGTTTTGTTTCTTAAATTTCACATATGAGTGATATAATATGGTATTTTTCTTTCTCTGACTGATTTATTTCACTTAACATTATGCCCTCCAGATTCATCTATGTTGTTGCAAATGGCAAGATTTCATTAGATGGATGGATAGATAGATAGATAGATATAGATATAGATATCTATATATATATCTTACATCTTCTTCATTCATCTGTGGTTGGACACTTGGATTGCCTCCATATCTTGGCTATTGTGAATAATGCTTCAATCAATTTTTTAAAAATAAAATTAAAAAATAAATTTTTACATAAAAATTTAAAATTGTAATAAAAATTTTTTAAAAATTTTTAATAAAAAATTTAATTAGTTCATGGTATCAGCAATATTAATATAGAATAATGGGTAAATGCCAAATAGTAAAAAAAAGGAAAAAAAGGAGAAGAAAGATATTATTTGAAAATTTATCAAAAATTGATTTGAGAGCTACCATAGCTATGAGAAACTTAATGCTGTATATTCTAGCAGCCAAAGTAAGTATGGAAACAAATTTTACAGATCTCTCTAATGGAAAGAAGGATACATGTTCATCAGAAATGAACGTATTTCGTTTGGGAATTTAAAGTCTAAAAGGAATTTGAATTTCCAAAAAGTAAAGTAATGGATAGTACCCTATGTAACAACAACAAATAAATGAATGCAAAAATATTCACCACATGTGTGCCTCTCAGGGAAGCTGTAATAGTTTCAATACCACTCTATAAAGACACTCATACTGGGGACTAGATTTGGGAAGCAAATGTATTATTTTGGTAATGCTACCAATGTCAAATGGAAAGCAAAAGGAAAACAGTCCTTTGCTAACATAATAGGCAATTCCATGCCTTCACATCACCCAAACAGCAGAGAACTGAACGTTCCTACATGAGATTGATGTTGAAAACGAAAACAAAAACAATCCACAGCTGTCTAACTGACTTCCCTGAGTCGTGTTTCCTTGTGTTGATTGACAGTGAAATGGAAGCAAGGACACAAGTGTGCCCTGCCCTCTCTGCCCCTCTATTGGTAGCTGCGATCGCAGTGCATGCTGAGGGTGGAGTGTTTTGGAAATGGCCAAGGTTAGAAGTCATGTGGAAACAGTACGTATGAGGAAGGCCACGCTCATTTCTCTATACTACAGAATGGTGTGATGGAAACCATTCTTTGGAGTGCAAAAATGGTAACAGAGAGACTGGCGTCAGCCCTGGCCTCAGAACGTATGAACCCTATTTTCATAGATAAATCTCTCATCCTTTCTCAGCCCCAATTTACACTGAAAAATGAGGATTTTAATATTTTGAAATAGGACAAATAATTGTACCTATGTATCCGGGGTTTTCAATGATGATAACATGTGATGATCTATATGAAAGCATGGAAAATGTTAAATAGCTGCTCCACTTAATTATTATCTCCCAGCCTTAATAAAAACATTTGAGCAAATGCCTCTATGCCTGGGGCTTAGTGTTTTATTTTCTGTAAGAGTTGCTGAAATGCTCCCAAAAATATTCTACCACTTACGTTCTAGCTAACAGTGAGACTAACATTGTGGAAATAAAGGGATGAGGGTAGGTGTCAGAGATATGCCCTAGAAGGAGAGGCTTCTCATGGCGGGGGGGGGGGGGAGACAGGACAATGTAATTATTTTGATTTCAGGTTCTTCAAGAAGCCAGCCAGCAATACAGGTGGATTGATTCTTATTATCATACCCAAGACAACTCTCTACTTTTAGTCTTTCATAATCCAATGAATATACAACGTCTGCATTGTGAATATTGGAATATTGCCCTTCACTCCAATGTTGGATTCAGGTAACCACCTTAGACAGTTTAGTTAACTAATTATCTTATTTTAGTTAGCTTGCTGGTTACTGGTTAATTAGCTTTTAGTTCCTTAGGCTAAGGTAAGTGCTTCAAGTCAAAAACTAAGCCTTCAATTTAGTCCATCAAGTTGAATGTTTGAGGTGTACCAGGTGCTGTAATAAGCATCAAAACAATACCAAATAAAGAAGACAGACGTCATTCCTGGACCCATTAGGTCTAGTGGGGACGTTATTACCTTACATCTGATTTATTTTGACTCTAATAAAACTGCCTCTGGAAGATCCCAAGGAGAAACTATAAAACAGGACATTCTTCATGCTGGTTTTGGATAACTCCATTTGATCTGGGGAAGACTCAACAGTAGAGCAACTGAGTGACATTATCAACACAGCAGTCAGGTTCTCAGCAAATAGAGACCTCTAGGAATCAGTGGTCTTTTTTTCTTCCAAGCCCCTTAATTATTTCTTCATGATCTTAAAGCTTTGCTCTGTCCTCTCAGTAATGATGAGAACATTTCATTATTTTTCAATGGTGATTCATGTAGATCAAGTATTTATTTGTCCAGCATTGTTTTAGTTTAAATTTTTTTAATGTTTTGTTTATTTCTAGGAGAGAGAGAGAGAGACAGCATGAGCAGGGGAGGGTCAGAGAGAGAGGGAGTCACAGACTCTGAAACAGGCTCCAGGCTCTGAGCTGGCAGTCAGCACAGAGCCCGACGCGGGGTTTGAACCCATGAACTGCGAGATCATGACCTAAGCGAAAGTCGGACACTTAACTGACTAAGCCATCCAGGCGCCCTGACAGCATTGTTTTAGTTTAAAGGGATGCAGAAAGATACAGAGAATGGGCTTACAGAATAACTGGGAAAATAGGTCATGTGCTAATCCTTTGCTCACGTACACAGTAGCTTACAGAATATAGTACATTATTTGGGGAAGGGTAGGAACACTTCAAATGGAAAACCATTTAGAAGTAGTGGCTCCCTACAGGCTGGATGGCAGAGCCCAATGGGAAAGGATGAGGAACAGCTGATCTACAACCTTTGCAGTTCTTCTAAAGTTAATCTCTTATCCAGGATTTCTATTTCTTCTTCAATTACTTTTGGCAATTGACATTGTTCTACAGATTCATGCATGACATTTGGATTTTGGATGCCTTTGGGAATGAAATTAAACAGTATTCTCACAATAAATGCCCATTCCCGAGAGAGATGTATTAGTGTCTTGTCTTTATGATTATAGTTTTGTCTATTTCTCCTGTTAGTTTTGCGTGAGTGTATATGTGTATCTGTTTAAACTTATTTTTGAATCTGTATTTTAGAAACATCCTTCTTAATGCATTGTAAACATTTATCAGCATGAGCAAATGTCCCTCTGTGTTCCCCTTAATGCTTTTCACCTTGAATTTCACTACATTTGGTATTAATATTGTTGGATAGTCTCTTATATGGAAATGTACTCATAGGACTTTCTCAATCATTTTACATGTCAACTAGGAATTGTGTCTCACTGTGTTAATAGAAAACTGACTACAGTGGCTAAACTAATAAGGGAATTCTTTTTCTTCTGTAGGGACAAATTTGGAATTAAGGATCTGGATGTTTTCTGGCTTTCTAACCAGCCATCTGCCATGCTTTCATTTTTCTGTATCATTTTCATTTGTAGATACATGTCTTTTAAATGTTACCTTGGTTTGTTCAGCTACTCTGAGCTCCTTTGTCTTTGAAAGATTTTAATAATGATTTTAATAATTAATAACAATATTTTAAAACTTTATATTTTAAAGAATCAATCTGTTCACTTCTATTTTATAAGTAATATGTTTGGCCTCATTCTTACCATTTGATTTTACATGCACATATCTACTTTAGGATTAATTCCTTTTCATCCCTTTGTTAGATTGAATTTTTCAGTTCATTCTTAGTGTGTGATGTTTTTAAAGTTATACTTTCTATTAATATACCTATAGAGGTTATCATTTTAAATCACATATTTAAATATTTTTATATCATAAATAGAGCTAATGAGTATTAATATCATTTCATGTTAAAAATTTTAACATATTTTCACTTACTCCCAACAAATTGCCATTTTGAAATTGTCTAGAAATTTTATTTCCAACTGTTAAGCAATATTTTAAATCACATACAGGTAGCACAAATAATTATTTACATTTAATTACAAATTGTACTGTTTGTATGGAGTTTCCCCCAAAAAATAAAACTAGAACTATGCTACGACCCAGCAATCACACTACTAGGTATTTATCCAAGGGATACAGGTATGCTGTTTTGAAGGGGTACAGGCACCCCAATATTTATAGCAGACCTATCAACAATAGCCAAAGCATGGAAAGAGCCCAAATGTCCATCAATGAATGAATGGATACAGAAGATGTGGTGTATATATATATGTATTGCAATTATATGGATGGAATTAGAGAGTATTATGCTAAGCAAAATTAGTCAGTGAGAGAAAGACAAATATCATATGACTTCACTCATATGAGGACTTTAAGATACCAAACAGATGAACATAATGGAAGGGAAGGAAAACTAATATAAAAACAGGGAGGGGGACACAACATAAGAGACTCTTAAATATGGAGAACAAACAGAGGGTTACTGGAGGGGTTGTGGGAAGCAATGGGCTAAATGGGTAAGGGGCGTTAAAAAATCTACTCCTGAAATCATTTTGCACTATAGGCTAACTAACTTGGATATAAATTTAAAAAACAAATTAAATTTAAAGAAAACAAATGTACTGTTTTTTACCTCAGCCTTTTAACTTATATACCATGTTGTCTTCTTTCTTGGATTTATTTTTTCAATGCAGCTGGAGTACATTTGTGATTCTTTCAGAAAGTATCTGGCTGGTGAATTCCTAAATCACTGCATGCTGAAATAGTCTTTATTTTGTCATTCCATTTGAGTACTGATTTGGCTGCATATGAATCTGTGTTCCCTCATCATGAATAGACAGCGAGAACTCTAGGTTTTGTTTGAAAAGTAGACACATCAAAAGGTTCTGAACCTGAGAGAGACATGATCTGACTTTACAGTGAAAAAGATCTCTCTATTCTGTGTTGAGAATAGACCCCTGGGGGGTCAAGGTAGGTACAGGAAGACCAGTTGGGGGGGGGGCTATTGCAGCCATCCCAGCAAAGGGCAATGGTGGTGTAGACCAGGAAGAGAACAGTGAGGCAAATGAGAAAAGATTCGATTTTGAATATATTTTAAATATGTGCTTTAAAATACCATTTGGATTTCACAACATTTGGGAAGTGGAGCGAGAGAAAATCAGAGTGATCAAGGGTAACTTTAGAGCATTTCAGCTGATCGACTGAAGTGTAGACTTGCCATCAGCTAAGAGAAGACGATTGGTTCATGTGGGGAAAAGTTGAGTTTGGGATGTCTCTTCCCTTCTCAATGAAGATATTGAGTACCCCAAATTCATAGTCTACAGTTTTCAGTTTATCTCTTTAAAGGGGATCAAAAATGAGAGAAAATTGTGAAAAAAACCTGACTTTAAAAACCCTGTAGCTTTATTTTTCAAGCCTCAGGCCTCACTTTCATACAACTTGACAATAATTAATCTTGATTATCCAACCTAAATATTTCAACTTACTTCCTCAGAAACAACTCTCTAAGGACCCTCAAATGTTGTAAGTATACATAACATTTCATTAAAACTAATTACAGTCATCCACATAAATAGAATAAATGGATTTGGGAACAAATATGACTGACTCCTGGTGAGTAACAACTCACTGATGTGACCCTAAGTGCACACGCAGCGTAGGGCACAGTATTTAGAGCATGGGTATTCCCAGGCCAGTAAGTTTACAGCAAGACTGGAGCATTTCAATTAATCCAGTGAGTCATTTAGCTATCGTCACTTAAAAAAGTTTCTAGTATGCTATAAAAATGTCCTAAAAAGAAACTGTACCATATTACTCTCCAGCTAACAGTGCTGAGAGTGTTTCTTAAACTGTCATCAACTCTTGGTATTAAACTTTTGAATCCTTGACTGGGTCAGAAACATCTCACTTTTAAATGTGCGTGTCTTTAATTGTGGATGAAGTTGGGCATTTTTCATATGCTCACTGAATATTGTATTTGACGACTTTGTATGAATTAAATCTAGGATATAACTGAGCCTATTGCATTTGGTATATGGGCAATTTAGGGTCAGTGCATTTTTGCAACGTTTATTTGTACAATTGGCATCATAAGTATTATTGACTTTAATAGTAACTCAATTGTCATTTGCTTTTTGCTTTCTTTTTTTAGGAATTATTTAGAACTCGTTGCAAAATCCATTCAAGATTGGATCGTAAAAGAAGAAGCCATATATCAAGAATCTAAAATGGCTGAGGAAATCAATAGAACGAAGGCTGAGCTGGAATTGAAATATTCTGTTCCTGCCAAAATACATTCTAACAAAATGTATTCTGTTAAAAAATCTAAAAGTAAGTCACTGGTTGAACTCACACGTAAAGTCCAAAGACATTTTTCTATTTGATAATTTAATCAAGACTGAATACTTCAATATTAAAACAAGTTACCCACAAATTTCTGTGACTCTTCACTTTCTCTAAAAAATAGATAGCTGAGTTCCAAATATAAGTTTGGTGACGGGATAATGAAATATCTGTCTTATATTGATGCCACCTCCTGCCAGATTTGGAAGATTCGATCTGTCCTATAGATCAAATCGATGTTAGGGAAATGCCAGATGTCTTTATTTTGGTAGGGTCGATAGTTTCAGCTATCTAGGATTTGTTGACAGTATATGAGGCAAATTCAAAGTCAGTATATTTCCATTAGAATACTTATAAATTCCAAAAGTGAAATTAAAACAAGACATTTCTTAGAAGAACAATCATAAGAATCTCAAGACTAATTGGGAGTAGGAATCTAAAAATAAAGGGAAAATGGATTCTTGAGGATTTGTGACAGGCACTTGACAAGATGTGGAGTCAATACATATGTATTTTGTTGTTAATTTCCATGGCTTTGATGCTGTTGGGGAATGGAGAAGAGAGTGAGAAAAAGAGGAAGGATACTTGTAACCTGTCTGGAAAATATGGATATCTCACTAGGGAATGGCTTCCACATTAATAATATTCATTATTTCTGATAGCATAAGTTGAGAGAGATTTCTCATAAAGAAGCAAAGTTATATATTTTCCAAAGATTTTGCAACTTCTGTCAACTACCAAAGGATTTGTGTTTGACTTAATTCTAAAATAAAAATTTGAAAGCCAAGTTTGTAATGAATCAGTCATCATCCACTAAAATGGTTATATAATCCATCCATCAGTTTGGCCTTTCTCCTGATGGCGGCACAGAAAGACAGCACTAAGTATCTGGAATGATGGATGGGACTGTATAAAAAAGAGAGATAGGGCTACCCTCTCACAATAGTGTCTAGAGCCACACTTGCCTATGAGCAGGAAAAATTGTGTGTTGACTGCCTTTTCTTCATTCTATTTCTAAACAGAACCAAATGCTTAATTACTATCTAGATCCTGTGAAATCCAGAATATGGTTAGTTGGAGATTGGAATACACTTGGTAGGTATTGCATTCAGTTTGAGACCTCTAAAGCGAAGAAAGTTGTAAATCTTCCAAACAGAAGGACTATTATAGCAAGAGGAGGGCTTCAGTGTGGAAGGAAAAGTTAGATTTGTTCCGTGTGGTCTTAAGCTAGGATTCATTAGGTTAAAGCCCTATGGATAGAGAGTCCACTTCAATAAAAGCTTCAAGGTCTCAACACAGTGAAAATGTGAGTTCCCCCTCCCTGGAGGAGCTCAGTTCCACTTCAGACATCCACTCTGGGGACAGCAAGAAAGAGTGAGGGATGAATAAATGGAGAGTTGAACTTGATAGCCTTTGAGATCCTCTACAGTCCTGACATTTGGTCCTTCTATAAAACTTTGTTGTAGAGAGTTACTAAGAAGTTTCATTTTCTCTGGTTTCAGGTAACAAAGGAATGAGCAAAGGAGAGATAGCGGATCAAGAAAAAGAAAAAGAAAAAGAAAAAGAGAAGGAAAAGATTCCTTTCATTTTAGAAGGCTCTCTCAAGGTAATTCAAGGAAAGACATGACACTGAATATTTACAAACTCAAATTTATTGTGCGATAGAGAGTTTGTGTGGTGGAACGAAAGTGATCTTTTTTGCTAACCTCTCAGAAATAATTGAGTCTGCAGTGAAAAGCAGTCTCTCACCAAGCTGTCTCCTCTTCCAGATAATAAACTTTTAAGGAGTTCTCTGGCCTTCATTTTCATATAACCCAAATCCGATGTGGTGCTTGTTCATATCCTGTTTCTTCACAGGTGTTTGTTTCTTATTTACAATTTGTAATGGGATTTTTAATTACAAAATTAATTAATGCTTTTATAAGAAGTCAAAATTAGTCTGGTTCCCTAAACCCCTAAAAATAAGAATATGAACAATTTGGTATGTTCTATACTTCTACATCCATGTATGTACAAATATAAAGAACGTTTTCATTTGTTTGCTTTCGGTTTAGATTTGGTATGTTTTGTTGTTTTTTAAATTTACTCTGCCACATACTGTTTTTTCATAGCAACATATCATGACTATCACTTTTAGATAATATCTAGAGATCTAACTTATTTTCATAGCAATATTGTTAGTCTATAATTTGGATATAAAGTAAAGTATTAAACAATTTCCATTAATAAGCACCACTTATTTTTCTATTTATACAGAAATGTTTTATGTAGTCAGATCAATCACTTTTGGCCAAAATTTAAGACACAATATCACATTTTGGCAAAGAAGTGAAGCACAGAGAATTCTCATACACTGCTGGTTGACATATAAGTGGGCATTTCAAAGTGGACTTTGAAAAACTGGACATATCTACTAAAGTCAAGCATACGATTTCCTTTTAACCTAACACTTCCACTCCTAAGGATATACCTAATAGAAATGCATGTATGCGTGTACCAAGACACATGGACAAGGCTGTTCTTGCAGCATTAATTCTCCCAAACTAGAAACAATTCAAATATTCATCAGTGGAATGCCTAGTATGGTTTAGTCATATGATGAAATACTATGCAGCTCTGGAAATGAACGACCTATAGCTACACACAGAAATATGGATGAATCTCAGGGCACTTGGGTACCTCAGTCGATTAAGCGTTCAGCTCAGGTCATGATCTGACATTCGTGAGTTCGAGCCCCGCATCGGGCTCTATGCTGACAGCTCAGAGCCTGGAGCCTGCTTGGGATTCTGTGTCTCCCTCTCTCTCTGCCTCTTCCCTGTTCACACTGTCCTTCTCTCTCTCTTTCTCTCTCTCAAAAATAAATAAACATTTAAAAAAATGTTTTAAAGAAATATGGATGAATCTCACAAACATCATGTTGAATACAAGAAAGGAGAGAGTCAAAACCATTATGTATGGTTTTATTTACATACAAAACTAAGCTGAAGTATTTTAAATTAGCCTAATTTTCTACTGCCTTTAAGGCAGTAGAAAGAGGTGGTGATTGGGAAGAAGCTGAGGAAGGCTTCTGGGGAGCTGGAAATAGACTTTCTTAACCTAGCAGTGGTTACGGGAGCATTTACTTGGTGGCAACCCATTCAGCTATTCAGTTGGGCTTTATGCTGTTTTTGTTTATATGTTATGGCTTCTCAAAAAAAATTTTTTTTAAATCTGTCTTTCTTTTTACAGTTTCAGGGCTTCTATCAGATTGATTCCACCTTGATTTTACATTAATTTTACTGTACCCTCTTAGAATCTTTTCATAGATAATGCTTTTTATATTCAGATATCAAATCTTTCTGAAATTCGCTGTTTATAGTGTAACAAAGGGGTTTTTTTCTTTGCCCATGTTGACTGTCATTTTACTAGTACTATACTTAATTAAATGTAATATTAATTGTCCCTGCTACACACACAACTAAATTGGTGTGTTGGCTGTATATTAGGCACTTATTTATTTATTTTTTATTTTTTTTTCCTGTGACTTAATTTGTTTTATAACTGGAAATTAGTATGTCTTAATCCCCTGCACCCATTTATTTTTTTGGAACCATTTTTGAATGCTGTATTCTGTTCCAGTCACCAGCTTAATTATTCCTTTGCAAGCACCATACTATTTTAATTACAATAGCTTGGGGTTGGGGGCGGGGGCGCCTGGGTGGCTCAGTGGGTTAAGCATCTGACTTTGCTCAGGTCATGATCTCACAGTTCGTGAGTTCGAGCCCCACTTTGCGCTTTGTGCTGACAGCTCAGAGCCTGGAGCCTGCTTTGGATTCTGTGTCTCCCTCTCTCTCTGTCTTTCCCCCACTCACACTATCTCTCTCTGTCTCTCAAAAAATGAATAAATGTTTAAAAATTTTTTTAAATAATAATAATTACAATAGCTTTGTTGTAAGCTCATACATTGGGTAGGCAAGAGCTGACTTCCATACTCCAATCAGTATGCAATAAACCACAAAACAGTGTAGGTTAATATTGGTGAGACCCCTAACCTTGTGGTCTCAATGGTAACACATAATTACAAGGCAAATCTTTGAATTTATATTTAGTTGCTGCTTTATTTTATTAAATTTTAAAAATGTATGTTAGTTTCTCTCCTTTGTTTTATTGACATTTTGAATTATGACGACTTATTTAACATTTTAAAAATCATTTTAATGTTCATTTATTTTTGAGGGAGAGAGACAGAGTACAAGTTGGGGAAGGGGCAGGGAGAGAGGGAGACACAGAATCCAAATCAGGCTCCAGGCTATGAGCTGTCAGCACAGAGCCCGACACAGGGCTTGAACCCACAAACTGTAAGATCTTGACCTGAGCCAAAGTCGGCTGCTTAACCAACTGAGCCACCCAGGTGCCCCTAATGATTGCATTTCTAAAGCAAGCTCCTCTTCAGCATTTCCTAAAGTTTAGTCCTCATCCCACAGTCTTTGTGTATTATGTATTATGATTGCCTAGGAGTCCCTGGGGAGAAGAGACTTAAAAATACAGATGCCTTCACTCCATCCTAATGACATCTTTGTGAGTCGAATCTAGGAACTTTAATTTTGAATAATCTCCTAGTACCATTTTTATGTACATCATAGATTAAGAATGATAGCACTATTTTTCATGATATGTTATTATTTTAATAAATAACTGGGTTTGATTTGATAGTATTTTATCTAGAATTTTTGTGTCCATTATGAATGAAATTAGTTTATAGACTTTGCATTGTTATTAACAAGCATCGCTGTTAGGGTTAAGTTTGGCTTTTAAAATAAATTAAAGAAGTTGGCAAGGTCTCTGTATCAACATGGAAAAAATCTCTGGAGTTTCTATTTACCAGCAATAACCAACTAGAAAATGTAATAGAAAACAAATATCATTCACAAGAGGAACAAAAAAAGAAAATTAATAAAAGACAAGCAAATCTTTATGGAGAAAATTACAACATATTATTGAGGACATTTAATACTTCATTAAGTGGGAAATATACCATAATCATGGATGAGAGGATTCAATTTAGGAAATGAAATATACTATAAAATCAATGTTATTCTTATCAAGATCCCAACAGAGTTTTGAGGAACCTTAGAAAAACCAATTCCTAGATTAATAAAGAAAAATAAAAGGATAAGAGCTTTCTTTCAGATAGCAATTGACTGTCAAATTACATCTCTTTATTTTCTCCTTGATGTGCATTTATAGTTTAAGCATATCTCTTATAAAGAGGGACTATAAGCTAGACTTTTAAAAAATGCATATCTGATTATCTTTCTTTTAGCAGAAGAGTTGAATCCATTTATATCTACTCTGATTAATTACATATTCAGAATTTCTTCAACTGATGTGTTTTGTATTTTCTATTTTCCTGCTTTTTCTATGATCCTTTTTTCTACCTTCCTTTATTTTATGTTGAATTTACTTTCTTTTTTCATTTGCAATCAGATAGTGATGGGAACACTAATTTGAACGCTAAGTGAAATGTCCTCCCCCAAAAAACAATTCTATTTTTCTTATTAGTAGACCCATATTACAAAAGAAATTTATATTCATTGACTTGTCATTAAAATATTTGCAGAAATTACTTTCCTCTCTTATTACATAAGTACCCTACATAATGTCCTTGACTTTGCCCCTTGACAGAAGTTTAGAATGTATGCGCTCTATTTCTACTAGTGGTTGCTCTAGAAGTTCAACTTGCATAGAGAATTTAATGAAGTCTAAACTTAATAAAATATCTTTAGTTTCTTCCAGAACAATACAAGGAACTATTAGTATTATTTAAAATTTGTTTCCCTTTTCTCAACTTATATTTTAAGTTTTATCTTGTTTTTTTTTTTTGTTCCCACAAACTGAACATTATTATTGTCATTGTTTTACACAGTCAGTGTTATTTAGCCTTATCCTCATGCTTACCATTTGTTTTGTCAAGCATTTCTTCTCACATTTTATATTTTGGAACTATTTCCTTTAAAACTTTTCTTAGTGCAGGTTTGTTGTTATGAAACCTCAGTTTTTACTTACCTAAAAATGGCTTTATTTTACCCTTATTCATTGAACATAGTTTTCATTTATAAAATTCTCAGTTGATTTTTTTGTATCTTCTGAGCACTCTCAAGATATTGTTCCAAGTTTTCCTGGGTTGACATTGTAGTTGTTAATAAATTGTTGATCTAATTTGTCCTTTCTTTATAAACAGCTTACCTTTTTTCTCCAGCTGTGAAAACATTCAGTGGCATGCTAGCAAATGTTTAGGAATAGCTCTCTCAGAAAAAAAAAAAAAATATATATATATATATATATATATATAATATGTTTACTCAATTTTACTGATAACATAGTATGTAGAGCACACAATGTACAAATAATAAAACATATACTACTTTTTGTTGTAAATTCCATTTAGCCAGTTGATTCTCATGAAATACTTTCACTGATTTTTACTAAGCTCTTAGCCAAACTATGATTACAATGGACAAAGATTCAATATGAATGTTGATTGATTGGTATTTTCACTGCCAGGAACAAGGAAGACAAAAATGAACAACAGAGGGATAATTTTAATCATTCATCAATGACTTCAGCAACTTCTTTGCTGAATCAGATAATAATTTGTATTTATTTTTTATTTTTTTGAATATTCATGCACAGGGCAAGCAAGGCCTAGGAAAGTTCCAGCCATGAGCTTCCATTTGCTTCCTTCTAGTGGAATTGTGTAGACAGTGAGTACTTCTCCTAGTAACAATGTGTGACTGCATACATGGAGCATTGACATGTAAAAAGCTAACCCAGACCTTGGTGTCCAGGGCTTTGTTGGAGGTCATTTACACAGGCATGGCTGAGGGACCACATGGCTGTCCTGTGTCTAGCCTCTCCAGAGGTCAAGTTGAAACCACGTGGCTCAAAGACCCTCCTGTAAATTAGATTATAAATTGAACTATCTTTTGTAATCCAAGGCCCCAAGTAAACAAAGACACTCACCGGGCAGGATGCTCTAAGGCCTTAGAGGCCATGAGCTGGACAAGAGTCTAACATTCTTTGGGCAGAGTTAATTCTTTTTTTTTTTTTTAAATGTTTTATTTATTTCTAGGAGAGAGAGAGAAAGCGTGAGCAGGGGAGGGTCAGAGAGAGGGAGACACAGACTCTGAAACAGGCTCCAGGCTCTGAGCTGGCAGTCAGCACAGAGCCCGACGCGGGGCTCGAACCCACAAACCGCGAGATCATGACCTAAGCGAAAGTCGGACGCTTAACTGACTAAGCCACCAAGGCGCCCCAAGGGCAGAGTTAATTCTTTACTGCACAGGTCAGGCCCTAATTCTTGGCCCAGGCTTTCTTATAGCAAAATAATCATATTTGGTACAGCAATAGTGTCAGTATGAATATGCCTAACACTTGGAGACTCCAGTATGGAGTAGGGATAGATTTAAAGAAGCAACTAACCCATCCTATAAAGTTATTACATGCATTTTCATATTTCTGTACCAATTTGATTCTTTGTTGCCCCTTTAATCCAGTATTATTTGTACCTTATGATAATGTTGTACAGGCTATTTAGCATAGAAATTAGTTGATAGTTAGGTAAATCCATTTCTTCCTCAGGCTAGTCATTTTTCCATTAATATTACATCTTGAGGAAGATTTGTCTCCTAGTACATTGAATCATCAATATCAGTATTATGGCTTATTTACATATGGTAATTTACTGTACCAATACCAGTGTTAATACCATATTGGAGTATGGTTATGAACAATTCAGTTCCAGAAAAAAAAAAAATCAGAATCTCAGTGGTATTTGGTATGCCTTCCTAACAGAATCAGTTCATGAACAGATATTATGGACAGGCGTCATTACAATTGGCCATGATTCAGTTACTTATTTACAAGCCACTGAGGGGTGAAGCTAATTGCCCTGTCTCAGTTTACAGACTTGCAGTGAAACTGGATTCCGTTGTGTGATGTTATATAGCAGGGCTTACTTTCCATCTAAAGGGACACAGGGGGGGATCCAAAATAGTTACTTTCCCTGTTATTTGTACTACCGGATATCTTATTCTGATCTATTCCTGGGGCAAGGGCCATCAGTGGTGCAGTGTAAATTACAAGTACTCCAGAGAATTTCTGTATTTGGAGGTCCACAAAATTCCCATAGGCATGCCCCAATGGGCAGTTACAATGGAGAGTCATTGCCCATGAGTACTTCAGGTTTCATCTGTATTAAAAGTAGTAAAAAGGTGCCATTCAATTAGGATACAAGCACTTCCCAACATGGGGTCCAAGCATTATCCGGATTATTGTTTTACCCTTCCTAACTCTATTAGCTTCCTGGGGCTGCCATCAGAAAATGCCACAAACAGGGAAGCTTCAAAACAACAGAAATGTATTGTCTCACAATTATGGAGGATAGAAATCTGAAGGTAAGGTCGCAGCAGTGTAATTCTCTCTCTGTAGGCTCTGGAAGAGGATCTTTTCTCACCCCTTCCTAGCTTCTTTGTGTTTGACAGCAAGCCTTGGTGTTCCTCACTTTGTAGATGTATCACTTTTTAGATTCTAGAACATTTCCTCAGTGTATCATACTACTAGTTGCAATGTGACAACTCCAAACATGACACTTTCAAATTTAATTTGCATTACTAACATTTTCACCATCACTTTCATAAGTTTAGATAACCAACAGTTATCTGGTTTGTAGCATTTGCTGATCCATGTAGTGTAAATACTCCCATCAGGCAATCAATATGACATCACTGAATGCAGAATTGGAAGCAATATGCAGTAGCACACTGCATATATTATATTGTATTTCTATGATACAGAGATAATTGATATAAATAACCTCAAAAACATAGATAATAGGGAAATGTAACAAAACAATTAAGAAGGTGGTAAGTTTTTGCTTCGGATTCTGTGACTCCTTTTCTCTCTGTCCCACCCCACCTGTGGCCTCTGTCTCACACTCTCTCAAAAATAAACATTAAAAAAAAGAAAAAGAAGGTGGTAAGTTTTGAATATTTAATGCCTTTGTTTTTAATGTGTTACTCAATTGTACATTTGTATAATTTCATTTTAAATAATGGCTGCAGTTAACAACCAGCTCGCAAAGTTCCTGAAAATTTACCAATAAACTCTTTCAAGTCAACATAAGCTAGATCCAGCACACCCCCATGACTTCCTGCTTTTAACTCATTGGCCTTCCTGAATGTTATGATTCATGTCTTTCATCAACTCTGGAAATGGGCAATTATTATCTATTCAAATATCGTACTGCTTTTCTAAAGGTGTCGTTTTCTAAGAGGGCTTTCAAATTCACCTTATTCTTAATACCGACTTATTTCTTATTTAAACTTTCGATCCTTTCTTCTCTTTAAGCAAATTAAAGACTAAGCAGATTAAAATACTTATTTCACCTCCTCTATTTGATAATTCTGATACCTTCAGTCTTTGCAGATATGTTTCCATAGTTTGTTTCTTCTCCAGATTCTTACTTTTGGCTTACTTCTTCATGTTTTGTGGTTTTCAATTGTGAGCTCATATGTACCCACAATCTTTTTAGAATACTTTTTTAAGGTAATGTAAATTTTGGTCACACCGTGTGAAGATAGGCTGTGGTTCGTTCTCAGGGGAGACTCCTCCTACCCCACCTCACCTTTCATGCAGGGCCGAGGAAGCAAGCTAGAATTCATGGTTTTCCTCTATGGGGAAAGATAATCTTTTAGTTCACCCAACAAAGGTGTCATTTTTAAAAATACCTGCTCCATTCGTAGGTCTCTGATCTGACTTTCAGTGTTATTGTTCTAGTCCCTGGTAGCCTTTGGAAACGTTTCATCAGTTTCCCTGTTCCTCACTGGATTAATGCTTTCTCATACCTCTTAATTTGCTGCCAGCCTTGCTATCCACTACAATGATGATTTTTATATTTTACCTATCATTTTTGAAATATTTTGTGCCAGGAATGTTTCTTTGAACATCTGGTCTACCATATTGCTGATTAACCATGTTTACTATGTAAATTGGGGATTCAACTCATGTGGAAAGGTATAGGAAGCAGGGAGATCAGCTAAGAGGCAGATGTAATAGTCCAGGCTAAAGATAAGAAGACCTGAATTAAAGAAAATTGGAACAGAAGGGGAGAGAGGAAGCTGAGGAGAGGATAATCTCTGAAGAGCTTTGACAGGGTATAATACTGGGAAGTTGGGTGAGAGAAGAGAAACCAGACTAGCTGCAAGGTCTCTAGCTCAGTATCTTTTATTTTAAAATTTTTAATGTTTTATTTATTTCTGAGAGAGAGAGACAGAGAGAGAGACAGCATGAGCAGGAGAGGGTCAGAGAGAGGAGATACAGAATCTGAAACAAGCTCCAGGCTCTAAGCTAGCTGTCAGCACAGAGCCCAACACGGGGCTCAAACCCACAAACCACGAGATCATGACCTGAGCTGAATTCAGACGCTTAACTGACTGAGCCACCCAGGCGCCCCTCTAGCTCAGTATCTTACTTAACTTGTTAGAGATACCACTCACAAAAAGCATTTGAAATATTCTCCCAAATGAACCTGAATGGAATCTAATGTGTTTCAAAACAATGTTAATATTTCTAAACGTGTTTACAGGCATGGAAAGAAGAACAAGATCGATTAGCAGAAGAGGAACGCTTAAAGGAAAAAAAAAAAGCAGAAAAGAAGAGTAAGGAAGTTGGCAAAAGGAAAGGCAAGGAAAGGGTAGAGAAAGAAGATAGTAAGACTTTGAAGAAAAAATCGCTTCCAAAGGAGAAACCTAAAGAAGAGCAAATAAACATCCCAGAAGTAACAGAGGAGCCCCCCAAGCACCCAGAACCTGAGATTGTTTATCCGGTAAGATCAATGTTCTAAGAAGCCTCTTTGGGTCCTTACTCATTGTTTTGGGAAAAACACAGCTTGTGTGAAAACATAGGGTTCCCAGTCTTCACTGACCCCACCAAAGGCCTTGGAGTTTCTTCCAGCATAGATGATCTCAGACCCTACTCTACCCTCTAATGCCTAGGACCTTCTTTATCAGTCACCAAGATAGGAACTCCCTGAGGCCAGTTTTCCATGAGTGCCCTGAAGCTAGGTTACTAAGGGAGGGGGAATGGAGATTTGACACAAAAGCATTCATTTAGGTTAGTATAAATAAACAACTATGAAAGATCATCACAGTGAGCACAGAGGTGACTGTGTTTCCCTCCCTCACAGGATTTGCTGAATTGGCACCCATGTTTTTTGCTTGTATGCTTTGGTAAAACCTTCCCTTGGCCAGTCTCTCCCTCAAGAATCTTATGAGGAAAACTTAATTGGAAAGAGACAGATAAAAATGAAACAGCCCTTGTCCTTTCTAGGTGCTACTCTAAGCCAGTTCTCAGGCATTAGCTTGCATCACCATCACTTAGAGCTCTATTAGCAACATTTAGTAAAAAAAAAAAAAAAAAAAAGCCTTTACCATAGGACTCCCTAAAATGTGTCCTAAAATAAAGTGTCAGTATTCCTCAATATATCAGTTCACTTTAAACAGAAAATTAACAGCCAGTGAAAGAGAAATTGATTTCTTCTCCCACTGCTTTTCAATCACACAGTGATTTGATTTGCACTAGGGTATCAGGGAGATCCAGTGAACAGATTTTAAAAGCAGGGACCTCCTTTAATTCTGCCTGTCACTGTAAGACCACAGGAGGCGCTCGAGATAATATGGACTGCAGCCTCTGAGTCTACAAAGTAACACACATTCATTTAGTCGAAATTAAGCTTACAGCAACTTGAACCCGCGCACGGCGATGAGCCGATTTTTGTCAATTGGAGCTCCACACTCAAAGTGTGATGTTTTCCCTTCTAGTTTCATGGATATAATATGGGAGATATACCCATCCAAATCTCAGGAACAAATTCTTATCTGTATCCTTCGGATGGAGGGCGGATTGAAGTAGAGAAGACCAAATTTGAAAAAGGTACATTTTGAAGGCAGCTGGTTAATCACTTGAAAGACAGTAACCCCTTTCAGGGGGTCTCGGGGACTTGAACCGTGAGTGTGATAAGTTAGGGTGGTAACGGGGCCTCTGTAGTTTATACGCACCACGTTTAGCATTTCCAGACTTCACGTTCTTCTGTTATAATCGCCTGCAGGGCATGGGCCAGCTGAGAGGTTAGCTGGGACACTCTGTGAAGAAAATTCTAGTCATGAATGCCTTAAAATATTTCTATATGATCATGAAATAAATAGTAACCACAACAAGCAAGGAGCTAATTAGTAATATTAATTACAACATGTAGTGACATCTCAGAAACCAAGCACATACTATGAGTTTAGAGCAAATTTCTGGTTTGGTTTCTGGAGCACAGAGCTTGCAGGCATTGCCGCCGAGGTTAGTTATTTGAGCTACAGAGAAGTTGCTTCTGGGTTCAGAAGTCTGTGAGTGGGAGAGGAATTTGACAGATGCATGGAGGAGGATCTAATCTGGAAACAACCTGAAGGAAATGCACATATTTCTCCCCAGGAACCTATCAGGGACATCTTTGATGGCTTATCTTTTTGCTGTGCTTTAAAGATCTCTCAGGTGGATTGGAGACCCTAGGCTTTATTTGACAGCTGATTGTGAGAGCTGTGAGGAGGTCCATTTGGAAGGCCCTGTTTAATGTCCACAAGGTTATGCCCCCCAGGAATGGGCAACATAGGCCCATCCTATTCTCACACTCAGCCTGACACCAACTTACCCTCTTCTCCCTCCCCCTTCTTCTCCCCTCCCGACCTCTGTCTCTCTTAATCCCTCTCTCTTTCCTTCTCTCTTTTTTTGTCATCTAATAACTAGCCATTTAATGAGGAAATCATTGCAACAGTGAGATACTGCTCCCTGTATGAAATCATGGCTCAAGCAGAAGCATTATTAGATAGAAACTGCCATATCAAACAAAGGGTCACACTAATAATTTTTAAAATAAAAAAGCCTGCAAGTTACTCAAAGTATTTTAAACAGTGGTTAGTGGTACAACTTACATCAAATGTCAGGCCATTTTATTATATAAGGTTTGTCTATTTAAAACATGACAGGGATAGTTATTAATATATAGGTACACATATTTGTATTATCATATGTTTTAGTATTTTGAACACCATCCTTGGGTATAGGGTACAATTAGTAGTCATTAAAAATGGAGCTTAGAATCACATAACTGAGAAAACTACTGGACTCAAGTTTTGAAATGTTACATTCTATTCTTTTTTTTTTTTTAATGTTTTATTTATTTCTAGGAGAGAGAGAGAGAGAGCGTGAGCAGGGGAGGGTCAGAGAGAGAGGGAGTCAAAGACTGAAACAGGCTCCAGGCTCTGAGCTGGCAGTCAGCACAGAGCCCGACGCGGGGCTCGAACACACGAACCGCGAGTACATGACCTAAGCGAAAGTCGGACGCTTAACTGACTAAGCCACCCAGGCGCCCCTGTTACATTCTATTCTATCTACAGCTATGTAATAGCTACATAACTATTCCTTGCTCTCATTGAGATTTGTATATGCATACGTTTAGTAGTTTCAAGTGGGTCACAGTAAATGAAATATTTTTATCCTAATCCTATCAGTTTTGAGAGATGGTAGCCCTGTCAAAATTGAAAAGAATAATCTGAGTTTAAAAAAGAAGAGAAAAGCTGAGAAAAGGGACCAAAAATGAGTCAGAACACTAGAAGAGAGAATGGACCATTAGGAAAATGCTTAGTTGCTCTATGAATGATAATATCTACCCTAACTAATTGATGTAATTCTTTATAAATTATAAGACCCTTTCACATTGGCTAACTCATGTGATTAATCACAAAATTGAGTGTAGGTAGCCTTGGCCAATGTATTTTCTCTTCTGTAATTTGGTTTGAAAGTCTGAAAACAGGAGTGCCTAGGTGGTTCAGTCGGTTAAGTGTCTGACTTTGGCTTCGATCATGATCTTACAGTTCCTGAGTTTGGGCCCCACGTTGGGCTCTGTGCTGACAGCTTGGAGCCTTGGAGCCTGCTTCGGATTCCGTGTCTCCCTCTCTCTGCCCCTCCCCTGCTTGCACTCTGTCTCTCTCTCCCTCAAAATAAATTAACATTAAAAAAAAATTTTTTTTAAAGAAAGTCTGCAAACATCTTCCTGATCCACCTCCCATTTATTTCTGGGATTCCACCCAGAATCTCAGGCATCTTGAGGCATCTTTTCATGAAATAATGATATCCATAGGTGTTTCCACTCCTTGGCGTATATTTTGTGCTGCATTATTTACATGTCTTGTCAAGCGTCTTAGCGGGGCATGATCAGCAGCCCATCTTCTATCCCCTGATTTTCCCCAGGGCCAACTTTTATCAAAGCAACCGTGAAAAAGGACAAGCACACTTTTATAATTCATTTAAAAGACCCTAAGAAAATTGTGAGAAAGGAAAAAAAGGAAGAGAAGTCTTCAGAAGATGAGAGAAAAGGAAGAGAGGAAGAGCAAAATCTTCAAACGGGTAAGCAGCTGCCTCTTTGTGTGAGTGGAGGTCAGTATTCCAGTGACGCATCAGACCCATCCATCTGACAGCGACACACCTGTGTCTCTACCACTTAGCAAGTATAATTTTTCCAGATGGTAAGGCAAGCATTTTGCCATTCTGCTTATGTGCATTTTCCCTAAGGAGTACATACATTGCACACACAGCCCGTAGACAGAGGTCTGCTCACTTGGTTATTCCCCATCTGGACACCCCACTCTTGAGTCCGGTTGTCACACCGAATCTATATAGGTGGCTGCCTTTAAGTAGCAACATTGAGTGTGCAATGTCCATCCTTGTCTGAATCTTATTTTACACAACTTGTACCAAGTGAAATCTCTAGGACTCGGGTTCTCATTAATTGATTTCTACTAAAGCTTTTCTCCAATATTCACTACAAATGATGGGGTTTCCTTCTGTGCTCTATCACTTAGTTCTTCCTAAGGTCTCACGTTTTTTAGGTTACGAGGACAAGAGAAAAATCCTATATTTAGTCTTGAGAGTCTCTACCTCTGGTAATGGGAGCTCCAGGTGGATGTCCATGAAACTTATATACTAATTATAAATGTATTATACATCATGAAACTTCCTGATAATACTCTTTAATATCTCCAGGCAGCACCACCTGGGAAAACTAAATGCTTTCTGCCCAATGTGACATGAATTATACCTGCAAAAGGAGAAGAGCTAATTATTAATAAAATGTCTTGAACTCTAATTAGTAATAAGATACATAACTAAATCTTACTAATAGATTCACTTATGATTACAGTGTTCTCCAAACTTAAGAACACAATGCATGACAATTCTGAGTGTATCCAAGAACTTAAAACAGAAATTTTTAAATTTCTTTTCTTTATTTTGCCTGATATAAGAAGATGTGGTTTATTTTCAAAAAATTAGGAAATTAGAATATTGAAAGAAAAATACAGTTGCCCATAATTCTATCACCCCAGTGGTAACCACTATTGTAATCTATTTCTTACTTTATCATCTTGAACCTTTTCTTATTCATTAAATAATCTTTGAAAACAAAGTTCTCTAATGGTTTTGTAGTGATTCATTGGTGTATATACATACATATCAATAATTTACTTAATCCTACCCACGTTTTTATATACACGATTTCCACTTTGCACTGACTTTTGCTTACATGTCTTTTTAATAAGATGGAAATGTCCTTGACTTGACTTGATTTTGTCTTTTAGAAAAATCAAATACAGAGAATAAAGCTGTCAGCAAGTTTGGGTCTTTCTCTGCCACCTTAGAAAATGGCATCTGCCTCTCAATCAGTTACTACGGGCCAAGTGGAATAGCACCAGGTAAAATAAACACAACAGCAAGGACAAGTGTCCCATGACCAAGTGTATCTGCCTACCCCCCACCGTGCTCACCTGTTGATTAACAGGTTCTGACCTAATGCCCCTCTTTTCCTGAAAGGTGGGAATGTATGTGTGAGTGTGTCTATATATGGGTGTATTTACATGTATGTACATGTGTAAACCTTCATACAGAGAAAAAACAGTGCTTTAACATCTGCAAAAGAAATTGTCATATATAATTTTGCATACAATCACATATATTTATAAAATTTTATAGATAGATAGATAATTTCAGTTATCTTTGTTAACTAGCCCAGGAAAATATGTCTATTAGTTGGTGCCAAAAAACAGACAAACAAACAAACATGATTTCTCAAGGATTCCTCTTGGTTTTCCACAGAATAATATTGTTATGAATCCTGTGATTGTGAAGTCTCAAATGTGCTTCAGAACTTAACAGCCTTAAAGGAACCATTCATAGGACATCTTGAAGAATTCCTTTACCCCACTTTTAATGAACAAATTCTCCAACTGGAAGCCATTTCCTTACAAACCACAAAATAATATGTCACTTAACCAAGAACCAACTGGTAAATCTTGTGGGTATCCCATGCATTTTACAGGGATCTAGACACATAGATTTAATTCACAAGAAAAAGCTTTACAAAATCAAAAGATAATCCCCATGCTATATAGCCTTAAAACTATGTGAATATGATGGTGATCCAATTATCTGCCTTACTTTCTAGATCTTTTTATGCAGAAACAATATTTCATTGGGCCATAACAATCTTTCTCTTACCTTGCACAAAATGCTGTAGTACTCTAGTGAGTTAGAGAGCCCATTAAATTTGTTAGTATTTTTGCTTTATTTGGGGTTTTGTCTTTTAATTTTGTATTTGGTTTGTTTCTGAGCCAGCACTTGAAGTCATTCTGTGCCTAACAAATTATGTATTCAATCCATTATCATACACAGTCACTAGAAAATCCTATCTGTTCTCACCATGACTTCAGATTAAGACATTACACTCTCCTATCAACTCTACTGCTGCTATTTCTTACGTGATTTCCTTATTTTTTTAATTTAATCTTTATGCTACTATGCAATCATTCCATTTAAAACAAATGTTCCCAATTTCAAGTTATAAGTACTGCATTTGAAAATTGTTTACAGTGGGAAAAAAATGGAAAGACTTTCCAATGCTCATGGGTTGGAAGAACAAATATTGTTCAAATGTCTATACTATAGACGCTATAGTGAAATAAGTCAGTCAGAGAAAGACAAATACCATATGATTTCACTCATATGTGGAATTTGAGATATAAAACAAATGAGCAAAGGGAAAAATTAGAAAGAGAGAGAGAGAGACAAATCAAGAAATGAACTTTTATTTTTAAGAAATAGACTTTCAGTTATACAGAGCAATTAGGGACTGAGGAGTATACTTGTCATGATGAGCATATACTTGTCATGATGAGCATAGGATGCCATGTGGAATTGTTGAATCACTCACTATATTGTACACCTGAAACTACTATAACAATGTATGATAACTAACTGGAATTAAAATAAGAACTTAAAAAAATAAAAAGCAATGCTTCACTTTTCATTATTAAAAATATTGAAGGCATACATCTTTATAAAAAATAAACTCCTTAAGTATGCACATAATAGTCATATTGAAGAACTTTTATCTGCTAATAACTAAACAAATTTCCAATCCAGTTATCCCCCCTTGACTGGGTATATACAGCTTTCCAGAGCTTGTTCATCTTGCTTAACTGAAACCTTATACCCATTAATTAATAACTCCCCATTTCCTTCTCCCCAAACCCCTGGCAACACCATTCTACTCTTTGATTCTATGAATTTGACTATTTTAGATAACCCTCGTAACTGGAATCATACAGTATCTGTCTTTCTGTGACCAGATTATTTCATGAAGCGTAATTTCCTCAAGGATCCATCGATGTTGCATATTGCAGAATATCCTTCCTTTTCAAGACCGAATAGTGTTCCGTTATATGTATATAGCACGTTTTACTTATCTATTCATCTGTTGATAGACATCTGGGTTGTTTCCACCTACCCTATTCTTTATGTTACTTTTAGTTCCTTGAATGCTTTCCCTTATCTCTGGCCATTTGCTCATGATTTGCCTCTTGCTCAGAACACTTTCTCCTGCTGCATGTACCACCACTTACAACAATTAAACTTCCTCCCATCCTTCAGGCCTCAGCAGGTTTCTTGCCCTGAGAAAGACTTCATAGACCCAGTTGGCAGTAGCATGTGAACTGGGTCTTTGGAAGTAAGTAGGAATTGCCTGAGCAAAGGATCAAAGGAAGGGAATTCTAACTACTAAGAATAGTGTGCAAAATCTCAGTAATATAAAAGCATGACTTGTTTATGGAAAGGCAAACTGTGTAGTATAGCCAGAGTATAGGTTGTATGGAGGCATTTTGTGTTTGATTCCCTTCTTTTGTGTTCCCACGGATGACTGTACTTCCTCTATCACAGACATAACACTTGCCATTGTACCTGAGGTTTCTTCATTTGTCTACCCGTTGCATTATAAATTCCCTGTAGTCTCCTTCATCAGTGGTTACCCAATTCCTAGTTCATAATAGTAGGTACTCAATATTTACAGAATGAGTAAGTGGATGGGGATGAGAGAGAGGAGTTTCTAGCTGCCTATAACTGGACATCATTCACTTATTTATATACCATACTTCCTATGGGTCAGGGTTCTTGCTGGCACTGAGCCATGATGATGAATAAAACCATAGCATATCCAAGCAAAAAAAAAAAAAACACCTCATTGTCTAGTGGGGAGAGGAAACATAAATAGAGAAATAACTGCAGAAGTGCTAGAAATTATATGTAAACATAGTACTGGGGACAGCTAGAAAATACTTCAGAGAGAAAACATAGCATCTGAGGTGGTACTTTGGAGATGAATGGGAACTATCCAGCCAGAGCAACAAGGAAAGGGAATTCTAGATAGTAAAAACCATTTGTATAAACATACAATTGTGTAAAAGCATGCCATCTTTATAGAAAGATGAAAAGTTGAGTGTGGCTGAAGTGGAAGAAGGTGAGCCCTGTATGCCCTATAAGGCAGTGAGTGTCAGAGGTGTTTAAGTAAGGGAAGGGAAGTGACGTGATTGGAGTTCACATTAGGAATATAATTTTAGTAATAGCTTGAAAAATACACTGAAATGGTGGTATTGGAGGTGCCATACCAGTTAGGAAACTGCTGCTGAAAATCAAGAGGTCAGTGAGAATATAAGCTAAGGGAGGAATAGATAGGAAAGGCATCATTCAAGAGAAATTTCTGATGGTTTGGTGACTGGTTGGATGTCTAGGGTCAGTCAAAAAGAGAAAATGCTAATGACCTCACTGTCTTACTTGGGAAATGAGGTGCTTGATTGGTCATTAAATGAGATTGTGTACATAGGAGGCTTTCCCTTCCTAGGAAAAGAGAGAATCACTGAGTTTGAAATGTTTCCAGTACCACAACCAGAATGAGAGGTCTAAAGGCAGTTGGATATATGATTTTGATGCTTAGAAATGAAGGTCATGGGAGAGAGG